TCCTGGCCATAGCTGCAATGTTCTCTGCCAACTGTTTTGATTTTGAGGAGAACTGTTTTGAGCAAAGAATACGCTTCCAGCCATCTGCATCGAGACCCGATGGTCCAGCAGAACCACTCATTTTCCTGGCACACAACTCAATCAGATCTCCATCGATGTTTTCATAAATGACATCCTCAACATTTTGCTTCGCACCAAGAAGTAAGGAACCCTTTCCCGCTGGTGTTGGAGGTGGATGTTTGTCTTTAAGAGTTTTCATTACGTCGGGGGTCACATCTAAGACTGATGTTGCCTGAGATCCTATCCATCTCATAGCATTTGATACTTTCCCTTGAAGCATTAGTCTGACAAATACTTTTTCTTTGTTCTCTTCTGTCTTCTTTCCCTTAGTGAGTCTCTTCTGAATTTCTATTCCTTCCCTAAGAAGTGATTGTAGGTCCCCATCTGTCCACCATTTCAGCCTCTTCTCCAAGTACTCAACATGCTTCTTTGTTTTAGATTTCTTTGATGGCTTTTGCAATAGAAGTGGGGGCATAACCATGAGCAACTTTATAGCAACTTCTTCCATTCCTGTACCATTGATGTAGTATCCTACAATCTTTGACATCTCTTCAATTAAACGTTTTCCCGACTTCCCAGATGGAATTTTAAAGAGATTTATTTTCCACTTGATTGTCTCCGAATAGGCATCATTTACAGCCTTTATTATATCATCTCCCTTCAACGAATTACCCCAACGACAGTTTTCGATGTTACTAGTAGGTGTTGCTGGAGTTGGAATAGATGGTTGTATACTTTCTTCGACCAGTATCCTTTCTTCGACCTGTCTCCTCAGAACTCGAATAGCTTCGGTGATGGGATTGTCTTCGTCTTCCTCTTCGTTGCTCTTCTTCTCTTTGCTACATCTTTGACATGACCACTCAGAATCTTCATTTTCCGATAGGTCTTTAAACTCCAACTCCGACAGTCCACTACAAGCGCTATGGAACCATCGACCACACATCCCCTCACATAAAATACAGTCGTACATGACTTCCTTTGAACAATATCCACAGATATCAGCTATATTTTCAATTCGCTTTACTACTCTGGACCTAGTGTCCATTTTTCTAGTGTCCGGCATTCCAACCCAAAAACAGGTACCACTACTGTTGCCGAGTCGGTTACCAGCAGAAACTGAAGCTTACCGCTGTCAGTCCCTACTGGATACGGGTCTCCTTAACAGTAGTGGACCCAAATTCGGGATCTGATGGAGTAATCTCAACACCAGAGGATTTTACAGATTATCACACAAAATCAAGTTAAGATGATAGTATAGATTAGATTAGATTAGATTAGATTAGATTAAGAATAATGACATAAACATCATCACCAGTTTTAAATATTCTTTCTGATTTCCTCATTATCAGAACTGTGAACATTTCACAGCCTTCGTCATTAAAAAACAAACAAATTCTATAACTAACATTGTAAGTTTGTATTATAACCTACTAACGTATGTGCCAAGTACCATTGCAACTCCTTGACGAGATGAATAATTCAAACAAATATTGTACGGATAGCATTCGTTATACAGTTATTTTGTAAAACAGGCAGTTCAGATTACTTGTGTTGCAATAATAAGAAATAAAAATGTAACTTTGTTTATTTGTCTGATTCTTTAAACATTTGTCTGATTCTTCAAACATACTATCAAAAAGTTGATACATGTTACGTATCCCAAATATCAGAGATATATATGGATACACCAGGAAGGGCCATCTCTGCGCGGCGTCAACCAATTAACGCGCGGCGTCAGTAAATTTTAAAGTTCGCGCGAAAAATTGTCTTGTTGTCCTGGCGCTTTTTTCTCGCGCCGGGAGTGAATCACTACGATGCATGCCACTTATCTTAAAATTGTCTTCATTTTCTGTCATACATATTCTGTTCGTTTTCCGATTATATCATCCCATTGTAGCGCGATGCACTACTGGGTCGCGCGCGCATCAAATAATGCTTCTCGGCGAGATGCGAAGGATTGACATCGTCAATCAAATCATCCCAATTTGAATTTATACTGTTTGCATCTATTCACCGGGAATGCCGAGGTCTAACAAAGTTTGCTTGTTGTGTGAAGACAATTCCTCGAGGTAACCAAATTTTTTTTTCGAAAACCTTATAAACTATTTTATAATTGTTTCTAGCATCAGTTGCACGTAGATGATAAAGATACAGGGTGGGCCAAACGTCACTGGACATACGTTGGCCTTAATTAGTCTCTGAGTGACCAATCGAAATGATTCTTTCTGGTACGACTTACCACCGGCACCACTGGTTCGAGAAATTTGTCAAATCGGAAAATATTAGAGTTCATTTTCTTCAAATGAAGGTTAATTTTTGTATTCATTTGATAGTTTGGATAGTCGGATCGAGCTAAATTTTATTGTATCGTGCTTGGCCATTCGAATTACGTTCGTCCCCCGTCTGTCCTGAACAAATTAGAATTGTAGCTTCTCAGATGGCCGAGATACGAAGCATAGCTTCGAGTTTATTCATCGCGCGCGAAAAGTGGCATGCAACGTATGTCAATCAAAAAGGGAGTGTATGATTTTTCTGATTCACGATGTCAATCCTTCGCAGCTCGGCGTGCAGCATTTTGCCGATTTACTGAAGTGTGGTTACGAGAAAAATTATATTAATTGATTTACTGAGCGGCGCTCAGCCTGTCATTCCGCCGAATCTTTATTTTTTATATGTTTATGAACATAATAGCCTGGGTCCCCATACCAGGTAATATTTGATTCGCGGCGCGACTGTCCCAACAGTGCATCGCTGATCGCGCTACAAACGATTTTCAATTTTATTGTGAATAAATAAACAACTTTTGCTATTTCCTTTTTGTCCCCCTTACCAAAGCCCGCACACTTTCAAAAGCGCGCGGCTGCAATCAATACCCATATGCCTGTTACATAATAGGTAAAATATTTTTGCTATAAAAAGGTATAAGGTTTTATTTTAAACAATATTTTAAGTGAGTATAAACAATAAAATTACTGATTCAGTTTGAGCTCGCTATGGATCGAATTTAATAAAAATGTAAATTTATTTTTTGTTTCACATTTTAGTACATTAAAAAATTTAATGTTTTTATAAACAATAAAATTAATTTTATTTCTTTTCAGATGCAGTTAAAAAATTTTAGACAGTTAAAAATTGATATGTTAAGTGTGTAAAACATTAAATGTTGGTATGTACTTTGATTGAAGGTGTCAATCATTCCAGATCGTTGCTCTGCGAAGCAAGAATGCAAGTAGTTTGCGCGGCGCGTCGAAGCGGCGCGCGAAGTCCTCCAAGTATGTGCCTTTTTGTGTATAGCGTCCAAAAATACACCGATTTAGATCAATTTTATACCCAAAGGGCCTTTTCACAAGAATTTTTTTAAAATTTGGGCGAGTGATTTAGTAGGAGCGAAGTATAAATCATTGAACATTCTCCTATTTTATTTTTTATCTGTTTTAAGTAGTAAAATACAATTTAAGTAGTAAAATACAACTTTTATTTTCCACAGAAGAATCAATACATATTGAAATTATAAATATCCGATAATTCCATTAATAATCATTAAAAGTTGCTTTGTCATTTGTAAAATCAAAAACGAAAAGCCCTACGCTGAACGTGCGCGGCATTTTTTCTGCAGCTGCCTAGCTTCAAGCTTGTACATTGTAGCCGCTAACATCAAAGCCGCCGCGCGCGCCCAGTGCTGGGGTGCATTCTCATTAACTATTAAACTTGGTCAAAGATATTTATATACAATTCCTAAATTAAATCAATAATCATGTTAATATGAGTATTCAACACTTCTCGACAACAAATATTTGCCGGCCCATCAACGATTCAGTCGCCGAAACAAAAATCAAATGTCTGCTTTTTCGTTTCGGGGACTGTTTGAACTCAGTACTGAGTACTATATCCGACTTTGTCATACGTTGTATGACCCGCCGCGCACGAAGTGCGCGGCTCCCCCTGTATCGTCAGAACGATAAAGGGGGTCATAGTCAATTTGCAAACAATAACAAACCAGAGGGAGAAAAAAATTCTCCCTCCATAATAAAGCGCCGCGCCGTCCGTATTTGTAGTGAGTATCTGTGTGTTGCTTATTATACGAAATATTTGCGGAGGGTTGCTAAGCGTTTTAAATATTAAATTATTTGGAGACATATCGATATACAATATATTTTAAAATGCTTGCAGAGTATATTACGTAATGAACGTCAGATTGCTATATAAAGTTAACATTTATGCCCGTCTGCCTTGTCATTGCTTGTTGTTTGCGTCGTGATTCGTGACCCTCATCATCATTTCATTTAATTTTAATAAATTCTGCAACTTCGGCCCTTCTTCAATCTGGCATTCTCATCCTCGTTTTGGCTTAAACTGTCAAATATTAGTCACATTATAATAGCGTTTAACACACGATTACTTTGTAAATCCCTGCGTGGCGTTTCTTTTCTTTGCCACAAAAACATCATTATTTATTTATTATAGAGTGTCGGTCAAAACTGTTAACGTGACTATTGTATTAATATTAATAACTTTGTCGGTTCTTGAGATTTTGCCTTCTTCATATTTGAAACAACTACCGTCCACGGTACGAAGGATAATTGTTATTTTAATTTCTACTAATTTTTAACTTTTTTCTTGTTCTCAGCTCGTTGGGACAGAATTGTAATGAACAAAATAATTATGATTTTCTTTGATATGTTTCATTTCTTGTTATTGTTTCTCATTCTAATTTGGTAGACGGCCCCAACGTTAATTAGTATATAATAAGTTTATTTTTCTTTTTTAATTAGTTGTCATCCGGCCACACAATTATAAGCAACTTATATTAGTATTACAGCACCATTCATCAATTAGTATATCAAAATATGTCATTTTAATTTTGCATGGCTGAAATGTAACGCTTGATTTATATATACTAATCAATTGAATTTTCAAACGAAAAAACCAGTATCTATATTAGATGTCTTGCAGTCAAAAATAATGCTGGATTGTTGTTCGACCTTATATTTTCTGCTGAAGCTCCATGACGGTCGACACGTATAATACCTCTCTTGGAACCTATTTGTACATGTTCAAAGCATGAAACCCGAAGGTGAGTTGTAGACTTATTCTAATATTCTCGTAATATCTCACTGCTTCCCTAATTACCCCCAACTTGAGCTGAGTGCTTGTGAACCACATCAAAACCCTGATTTATCATACACGACGATTATTCGCACAAGTTGTCTTTCCCTCAAACAGCAAACTGTGCAGTAAATCGTGGTGTTACTGTACATGGTTTGCCTGGTGAATACCATGATTACAATAATTAGTTATAATAAAAATTCTTGTAACCCTTAACACATTACGCCCACTTTGCAGTTGACGAACAGAGAAAAAATCATATCTTGGGATATGCCGATATTGATCGATACATCTGTTGATCTTTGAATAAGAGGTGAGAATTAATTTTAAATATATCGAATTTGTACTTACTTTGTTACTTTGTTGGGCTTCATAGAATCGTCTATCGGGCCATCGAAAAAGTCGACCCCCCGGACAGTATAGAAACTGTTTTGTTCACCACTCCAATCCAGTAAGTATCCTGGAGCTGGAGGCTCGTCCGGAAATGATTTGACAAAGTTGGGAAAGTTCGTTAAAGTTGCTTTGAATTCCATAGGATCCTCGATGGTGTGCATATGTGTTGGGATTACATTCCATAATCGAGGTCCAGTGACTGCAAAGTTGTCATGTAGTGCTTGATTACGTTGACTGCTGGACTTAGCTACACTGGGCACAACTGCTTTTTGACCATGTCTGAGAGTGACCGAGAACTGGATACCAATATCATTAGGGCACTTGCAATGCAGAACTTTCCACATGTTGATGATTAAATACCGTTCTCTTCTTCTTTGCAATGACATCAGATCTAGGGCCTTTAATCTCTGCCAGTAGTTGAGGTGCTGGGTGCCATATGAATCCCTTCTAGCTGTTGGATTTCCTTGGTCTTAGAGCAATTCTACAGAGGACAGCAATACTCTAAATGACTTCTAACGAGAGACTTGTATAAAGTCATCATGGTGGCTTTTTCTCTCGTTTTTAACGCACTTAGCACCCAAGAAGCAACATTTCCTGCACGTTCAGCTATCCTGTTGACGTGTGGGGTCCAGGATTGAAAAGTGGAGTGGTCCGTGATTTCCTCGGATGAGGACATCTGTGACGCAACCAAGTCCTCCTTGGGTTGCTGAGATTCGGGATCTGATTTGTTCACAGTACTATCATGCCGGCCCTTCGATTTCCGTGGTTTAATAGGAATACTTGATTCCTTGCATGGTTTACTCAACCAAACATAACTAGAAAGAACAGTAGCACTAGTCAAAACATCGTGGAAACTCGTAACAGCAGAACAGTTGTGTGATCCCCGAAAACACATATGACAGTGAAAAACAGATTTCTGATCGGCTTGGAATGTACGTTTCGTTACATTCCAAGCATTCTGATGGCAGCAACGCACGGAGCTCAAATTAAATTCTGTTGATAAGACTGTCCTTTGTATACAGTTTGTTCCCGTCTGAGTCAGCTCAATCAATGTTCAAAAACTATGCACACGGTTCCAACATGTAAGTATCCCAGGCCCGGCTATGCCAAGTGAAAATCTATATTAAATCACGTCACTTTATAGTATTAAGCCACAATAATCCAGATGGAACTTAAAGTTACATTTAAGCCCCACTCTCATACAATTAATGTTTTGGCAACCCCGCACGGTACGCTATGATATTACATATTGCACCAGTCCAGCGGAGTGCCATGAAGCTTCTTAAATCATCCCCAGTGCAAGCCCCAATTACGAGCGGTATTAGGGAAGCCGACTCGAGCCCGATACTAATTTATCCTAACCAATCAGATACGCTAACAGCCCTCTTAGAAATGTAAAACTGACCGACAAAACACGTTGACAGAAATTTTGATTAAAAAGATTTTATAAAGAAATTTCCTGGACAACAGGGCGAGCCCCTGTTGCCATTTCCGAGCACAAATCCACTAAAAGATTTCAACACAATTATAAGGCTTCGGAAGTCTGGGATCAATGAATTCCTGAGCTCCACGGGATAAGAGATTTTTGATTCGGTAGCCTCCCGGACAATTTTAGTTTGAGAGGAGATTATTCACCTCACCATGGCCGTAGAACGGCTGTCATGTAGGACTATTGAGCGGTGGACTGTTGAGCGGTGGACTGTAGGCCGGTGAAGGTCGGAAGTAGGACTGTAGAGCGGCCCTCCCTTATAGATCCCATAACATGAGGACTCTAGAGCGGTGCCCTCCTATAACATGAGGACTCTATAGCGGTTGAAAATTTGAAGATTGAACACTCAACAAAGCTAAGTTATACATTGTAACTCGTGATTGATTATGGTCATGACATTCTAGGATGATAACTTTATTAAAAAGTCATGGAGTTAATGAACATTTTCATTTACTTATTATAAATATTTCATTACTAATATTATAGTGCAACTTAATTTAAGATTATTGTAACGCTTCCTCGTTACAGTTTTGGTAACTCAGCCAATCCCTAGCTGGAACCTTTTAACCGTCTTGGTGCTGATTCATCATGATCCAATCCTGACCTCTCCCTTCTCATCGACTCAACTTCACATCAGGTTATGTACCCTTTCTTTATTTTATAATCAACGTCTAATTAGCTCTTAGATAATGTTTTTAAGCAAACTAGATATCCCAATCAATGTGAATGACCATCATAGTATTTCTCTAACCGATAGCCCAAGGCATAAAAGGCGGCCCTCACACAACATATCAAGATTAAAAGCAGATATTGACTTGACATTTGCTAAACTCTTTGCAGAGTGGTCAAAAAATGAAATGACACGTTTCACAATTTCGTTACTTCCTGTACGGAGAAGCAGGTTCCCAATAGCCAGTTCATTAGAGTTATCGCCTGACATTGTACACTTCTTGTACAGTTACACACGTTGTACACAAGGTTAGCACAGTAATACCGTTTTATCAATAGAGATAAGAGAGCTGCGGAATGTACAACCAAAGCAATTAGCAATAATGAAATAAAATTGTAGGGTTTAATTTTATTATGAGGTCCTATTATGCACATATAACGGGTTCGAAATGATACCACCATACCCACATAGGTCCAAATATCAGAACAAGTCAGTTTACACGGCCACAAAGACTTTCCAATAAGACAGTACCAGTCCTGCTTGAGTTTATCAGCTTTATATCAGATTTTTCATAGTTTGTTGGTCTGCTGCTGTCAGAATCAAGTTCACGACCCCCCACCCTGGACACCCCTCGCAAAGACAAATACTATAAACATCCTGACTCATACTGATGTAATCTAGCAGTGTGGCTAGAACTATGCCAACTATAATTGATAGATGAACTGTGCTCGGTTGGGCCTAAGTAACATCCAATCCCATTTTTGATTATCTGGCATTACTGAAATATTGCTTGTGATTGTTAATCAGTCACCCGTCTAATTGTAGATGACATGGTTATCACTTATCACTGTAATAGTCCGGAGGTCGCAAACTTGCTCTGTTACTCAACCCATATCGTGGTTAAGTTCTGGTTCCTGTTTCTCTTGATCATTAATTGATGGTTCTGTTCTCCAGTATCCAGCTGATCTGCGCCTTTATCACTAGTCTCGGAAGACACGATGGCAACCGTTGAGTTTTTACTCTCCTGTTCTTCTAAAAATCCGCTCCATCGATCACTTTCTACTTTCATTATTTAATTCCGTTAAGAGGAGTACTCCTTATTGATATTGGTTTAGCTGATAGACTCGCAGTCCCTATAGCCGTATACTTGTCCGAGCAGTTTATCAGAGAAACAGGTAACATTGCACAGTTAGTGTGTGTCAATGATAAAATCAGTAATATTTACGGCAGATGCCAGATCCTGTAATAAAACGGAATCATAGCATATGTTTTGATAGATTACATCGGCTACGCTGAAATTTGCTTCGCACACACCATGACACACATTTGTACATTCCATTGGTTGATAGATACTCGCTTAACTCGCACGTGTGCGCGGCTCTGAACACGCCACAATTATTTGGCAAATATCATATTAGAGACACACCGAATTATAGTCCAAAATGTGGCAAAGTTTCATATAAATCACACTTCCTTCAGCATTTGTTATAAAATTTGAGTGCGCATTATAATCCTGTACCAGGCAAAAGTCCTGCTCACCTAAGAACTGGCGCTAAGTTTCTCGATGTAATCCGCCTTATATGACCCTAAATAACACAATTGACTCGGGTACACTTTTTCACGAGTGGGGCATTTTCCGGAATCACGCCCTTTCTGACCGCGCCCACATCGCGACCCCCACCATTGATTATCTCAGCTTCTGATTGAGATACAGACCTCAGACATAAACCAAAATGTGCCTAAGATGCATGTTTATATTAGTACTATAGTAGGGTTATGCCCCTGTTGTTCGAGCAGAATGATGTATCACCCTTTTTCGGGACAATAACAATGATACCCTTAACCCAATCCTCTGGCACATTCTCCGTCTCCCAAACACGTGCAAACAGTTTCTCAAGCCTGTCTAAAAGACCAGGAGCCCCATACTTCAGCTGTTCGTTGGAAATTTCATCAATTCCAGGGCTCTTGTGATTCTTCAGACTCTTTAAAGCCTCAGAGATCTCTGTTCTGCTAGGGGGTAAATCACTATCACTCAGATACGGAAAACATGGTGCGACCTCTAGGTCTGAAAGGTCCACGTCTCCTATCTGCGGGTTTAGTAGTTCAGCAAAGTGCTCACCCCATCGTTTTCGTTGAGCAGCTGGGTCAGAAATCAACTTCTCGGTTTTATCTCTGACAGCAGTTGACTTCCGACTCTTCTTGCCTGACAAGGACTTGATCATCTGCCAGACCTCCCTCTGCTGACCGTGTGAAGAAGCTGTTTCCAGATCGGCTGCAACCCGTAAAGCCCAGTTCTCATCGTCCTTCTTGCAGCTCTTCTCAACACGCTTATTAGCAAGAGAATACTCAGATCTATTGAATCCATCACTTGGGCATTTCTGCTTGACCTTACTCCGCTCCGAGATAAGATCCTTTGTCTCTTGTGACAAGTGCTGCTTCTTCCTCCGGCGCGGGCGTTGACCCAAAACCTCCAAAGAAACCTCCCTGATGCCCTCCTTGACCAACTCCAACTCTCCATCCAGACTCTCTTCCACCGGCAGACCACTGAATCGGTTATGCAGTGCGATGCAATACTCCTGCACCTTAGATTGGTCACGCAGATGCTCGATAGCTGGTGCTTTTCTATGTACGATACACCAGAATTTAATAGCTGTAAGTGTAACGTTGTTCACTATTCAGATACACTATTGTTGAGTTACACCAGACGTAGACGTCACTAGTTCTTATATTGTTAAGATACACTATACTTCACTAGTATTTATATTGTTACGATACACCAGACTTTAGCAGCTCTAACGTTGTTCACTGTTCAGATACACCAGAATAGCTCTAATATTATAGATATACTAGGAGTAATAGAGGGGGCCAAAAGTGCCGTAACGCCGTTACACACGTGTTCAATATTTTGAGACCTGTAATTTTGCAGATGGCATTATTATGTAACTATTCATTCGAGAAGTCCGTCGTCAACATTCGAAAATTCGAATATTTCAGACAATATTAAATCCCAATAATGTTTTATAATGATTTATTTTTCAGAAACTCAGCAACCGCGGCCGGAATTGTAATGCCGAAATCATTTGAAAATTCTCGTCGATATGGTTGGACCATGCGTTTGAAAAACTATAGAGATTGGAGGTCGCTCCAATTTAGTTATTGAAAAGGAAATGTAAAACCAAGGTATGTGATATATGTTGCAAGTGACCCATGCAACAACCATGTGGTTTCTATTCATTTCTAACCTCCGGTTTGTGCTACCAAGCATTGATTCAGTCGATATTGGTTGCTCTGCATGTCCTTTTAAGTTACTTTTCAAATACATCTTAATGTTGGATTTTTATTAAGCTATAAATATAAAAGAAATCCTTTTGGGTATGCTTAAACAAATCTTTACGTATCATCTAATGTGGCTTAATATATTTCAGGAGACTGAAGAAATCCAAAGATAGAGCCAATAAAGACAGTCAGAGGACCAATTACCAATTTTATGAACCTTAACAGAAAAAGGCCGAGCTGGATGAACAGATATTGCTCCGCAGCTCGTTTCCTGGACCTTACTTCATAAAAATATCCCCATCCGAACCTACAGCAGAACCTCAACCTACAGCAGAACCTCAACTTCCAGCAGAACCTAAACCTTCGCTTCGTCTGAACCTCAACCTCCAGCAGAACCCAAACTGTTCTAATTGCCATGTTAGCTGAAGATTGTTCTATTATTAGAAAATAGGCTATAGATGGTAGTTGGGTATATTTTAATTGTTTTGGTAATAATGTGTAAGTAACTGAGCCGCCTACTTTAAAGGGATTAGATTTAAATCTTGAATTGTTTCAGAACCTATTACTTCTGGGCTGTCCTGTAAAAATTAACCGGGCGTATAGGTTGTCTCGGCAAAGCCTCCTTAAATTATTGATACACGATCTTAAGGCGAACCTTTTGTAGTTTTTTGCACATTTCACGGTGTGACGATGTTTTTTACCACGGTAAATTCGGTACACATACTCAAGTTCGACACGTACAACTGTAGTTCGACAAACCCTAAGGTTGGACTTTGTCGAACGAAAGTGCTCTACCTGGACTCAAATTCTACAAGAGAACTTCGACTATCAAACTTTAGTTTTGAAATCTCCGGTCTCCAACAACGATCCTTTATGAGCTTGAAATCTATTCGTATGTCTTTTTTTTTTGCTTGTCTCATGCTGCCCAATGATGTTAGAATTGTAGATTTAACGGAGAGATAAACGACTAATATAGGCGTGATAACTCTTACTTCGTTTTAAAGATCTAGATTGTAGAGTATGCTATATAAATATCTAGTTCTACCACATACCACCTTTTTATGTTATCACAAACGACAAGTAACAGAGTACCCGTCTAGAGATTTGGCTACTGGACCGGAAACAGTATGATATCAGTCTATTTTCCTGTTATCATGCCCTTTAATAGTTTTACCCGATATGGAACCGAATATTAACTTTGAAACTTCTTCAAAAACATAGTTCATTGAAGCACTGACGTATGTAATATTGATAGTTTATTATACAGATGAATTTTAGTTCTGTTAAATATTATGTATTATTCTTAGGATACCAATAATACAATTTTGAATTATGTGGTTAGTTTGGAAGCTCCATTCTGTAAATATTGTGACTGAAATTATGGCTTTAACTGATTTAATAGTCTCAATACCAAGACTTAAGTATTTATACAGTAAAGCCCAGGGTCCCCATGTAAGCAAGTAAGAATAATTGATTAAGAATGTGTTGCAAGTCAAAAATTTAAAAAGCCAGAGCCCAAAGCCAGAGATAAGCTTTTTGTCAACATAGCGATCACATCATCAAAAAAGTTAACACACAACATCAAATAGTCTGGAACTTTCTAAATGTGACTTTACAGTGCACGCAGTAACTATTTAGCACTGAGATTATCGCTTCGCGCACGCGAGTTCTTCTCGTACAGTTGCACCTGAGATTTCTCGTGCGGCTCGCAAATTACTTGACACCCACATAGTGAAACGACCGTGGGGGTCGCAACGTGATACAAATCCGACTAATCACACTTTATAATGGTTAAAATACAAAGTAAAAAGATTTTCCTCGATGGGCCGGCATTCGCAACCGCGAAACGTTTTGAGTACGACAAACGATGACACCACCACCAGCCGTTAATTGATAAGTCCATGGGTGACGGGATAAAGTTAAAGTAAGATGTGTTATTTCATATTGCCTATCACCTATCACCTAAGTTACTTTGCATATACTGCTTCTAGTTACACGATAGCGATCTCAGTTCCCAATAACGTGTGACCCAACAGAGGGGATTGTGGAAGGACACGTACATTTTTCATTAACACGTGCCCTGATTACCCTCTCCGTTGAGCTGCTATACGGGGAACGTTGACCGCCAGTCTGTAGTCAGATCGTTAATAAATTATACTTTAAAATTGGTTGCCGGGTGATGGTGTCAGTGAGAGACGTTAAGTTAGGTGAACATTGGTACAAAAATATAATAATCTAGCAGTTTATCTCAAAGTTAAAATCACTATTTGTTAAAGTATACAAAAAGTTATTTGATTTAAGGATCAATTGATCATCATAATTCTTACAAGGAATTTTGTTGAGTAAAAGTCTCAACTGATCGTTGCAGCGGAAATTTAAAATAAGCTCAGTAAATCTGCATCAAAAAAATGTAAATCTATTTTTGATTGGCTGGGTATATTACTGATTACACAAGTCACAACATATGTTTTTCACAATTTATACTCCAATTTTTAAAAATTTCTATTTTATATTTAACTGGTGTGTACATTGTTGGGTTGTCTAACCTTATAGCCGGAAAATATTAATCTAAATATTTATATATTTTTTTAACAGTTTTTAAACTTTTCTTGATTAATATTAAAGTCACTTTTGTGACGGCTACTTTAACTACTACAACAAAGGGTTTCTATGAAATTTTCTAAGATTTTGTATTGAATTTTTATATAGAATTTTTATATAGGGTTATTGTTATATTATGTGTATATTGTTTGAATAATTTTCCATTATTGTGACGGTACATTAGAACCAGGCAGAAACAAAGTGTGAAGGGCTGAGAATCTTGAAAATTCGTCCAGTCAATCCGACACACTTAAAGGAGTTACAGAAGCTTCCTTATTGAGGAATTCACTTAATGAGGCTCTATCCACCGACGTGGTTTAATGTCTCCTCCCCTATAATTATGAGAAAATGTGGATATGTTTGATGTTTTTGAGCTTCTTGAAGTTAGGGACTAGTACTTGAGTGACTAGTGACTAGTGCTTGATTTCTCAATGTCCAGTTTACAGATTTGCTGCTGATTTCGAGCTCTCTTTTCCAAGTTAGACTTACCTAACTTTTTCCAGCCATACTTCTTAAGGAATACAAATTATGAAGTTTTAGATTTTTTGGCTAGAGAGTCCTGAGCAGTGAGCATGCTGTGTTGTAAGGTGAACTTAGCTATCCATCCTGAGCTGGTTTAGCTCAAAAATTGTTATGCTGATACTATTAGAGTTTACAGTACTGCTTGTTGCCATTAAAGTAGCCTGGCTGTTGCAGTTTATGACAAGTATCCCTTTGTCTTGGCACATCCTTGCAGTATAATAACTAGGATGCCCGTGGTAATGGATAGAAATCTTTGTGACAGACAGTATTTATGGCAACGAAAAATATCCATCCCAACCGATTTAAATGTGACGTGCCCTAAGCACAAAGCAATCACAACAAACCAGCGTAATGCTGCTTCAATAAGTTTTGCATATGCATTTCCATACTTGTTACTAAGCAACCTTCTCATTTTTGCCCACCCAATTTGCAAGTGGACAGACTCAAAACAGAAAGACAACTCTGAATTGTAACAGAAATTCCGTTTTAAAAGTTATCTCTGGTTTGGTGTGAGATGTTTTATATTTTGATTCTCATTCCATTTTTAACCTTCTATAACTCGATTCATAGTGCTACCTTTTGAATTACAATTTTCTTAAAGTTGTTTGAAGTTGTGCGAATGAATACTAATTGTTGTTCATTATCGATGCTTTATTATGTCTACTATAGCTTTTGATACAACTTTCGATCTTCAAACAATTGTTTCCTCCCTAGATCTGATGATCGAAGATTCAACTATAACTAAAGATGACTCTATTGCCATTGAAGCTTACTTGCATACGAGATCATTGCATGAGCTAGCAAGGAATGGTCAACTAGAAGGTAATATTGTACTGATTTCAAATTCATGGGAATTCCGCAATATGTTTAAATAAACATTATAATGTATTTTCTGTGGTAATCTTACAAATTTGTACTTTGTGATGGTTCACTTTATGTTTTAATCTCTGCTTGAACATAATGTCATATATTTTGAGTTTAGATTTGTACTGATCAATTACCATCAGGTTTGAGAACCATTTTGGATTCTGGAACTGTAGATGTCAACTCTCTGTGCAGGACGGAGGGATTAGATCCCTTGACTCCACTCAGGTGTGTAGTTTAATATCAATTGAACTTGCTCGGTAAATGGTGCTGATAAAAACAGAAATGTGTGGTATCTTTATATATTTTGACTTAGCATAATATATCACTAACATGAACAATATCCCAGTTGTGCAGTAAAAAATGGGAGCATTCCTTGTATTGACCTCTTGCTGGAGTATGGAGCAGAGCTCAACCCATCAAGACACTTGGACAAACAAGCAAGAAAACATCCTTTAGTTTGTGCTTTGGAGAGCAGGAATCAAGATGTGATCAAACATATTGTTTCCAAGGGAGCAGATATGAAGTTAGCATTTGCTGTTCTTTCTAATGTCAATGATGTTGAGCTGTACAAAACACTCAATGTTAAAGTTGACATGGAGCTGAGCGAGATAAGCATCTTAGAGCTTCAAGAAACACCTCCAAACTTTGAAGCACTACAGGAGCTTGTTGAATCAGAAGTGTTTTGCTCGTGTCTCAGTCCGATAGACATGGCTCTAGATCTGGAAGAGGCTAGCCTTGTTGCTGCACGTATCTGTACCGAACATGCAGATATGTATCAACAGCTAGCTAAGCAATGTCAGACGTTTGCTAAGGATTTCCTTGCTTGTTGTCAGGTACCGAGTGATGCAGAGCTGCTGCTGTCCATGAAGAATGCTGACAACACCTTTGGGAGGGCTCTGATGTACAATGAGAAGGAGTTCCTGACCCAGCCCTGGATACAAGTTGTGTGTGAGAAACAGTGGTTTGGTGAACTTGATGGAGTTCAGAATAGCTGGTGGTCCTGTGTCAGTGCTATTATCAAAGTGCTGCTGGCACCTGTCCTGGTACCTACTTGGTTGCTGTATGGACTGGTCGCTGGAAACCTGCAGCATCTTAACAAGCTAATACAACTTATTGGATCACCTTGCCTTTGCTTCTTCTCCTTTGTTACCTCACACATCATCTTCTTTGTAATACTCATGTTTATTTGCACAGACAAAACGCGACAACATTTGACGTATGCAGAAAAAATAGCCTACTGTTGGCTGTTAGGAAAACTTTTATCAGACTGTATCAAATATTATAAAGTCATAAGGTTGACTTCGTTCAAAGTATCTGCACTGAGGGGAGTATTTGACTGTTTCTATACACTTTTCTTTGCAGTGCTGTTTGGTATCAGAATTTATACAGCAAGCAGTGCTCAAAGTTCAAATATATCTCTGCTAGTGTTTGTGGCAGATGTGCTTTATGCAGTAGGAACAATTCTGCACATACTCCAGATAGTCTATGTGCTGCAAGTCACCAAGTTCTTGGGACCCATCCTCGTGTCCATGAGACACTTCTTCTGGGAATTACTCAGGTTCCTTGCAATCCTGATGATCATGAACATTTCATTCAGTATTGCTATTACTAAAATATTTAATGCTTATGATGTGTATGCAAATGATAACACAACATCGAACCCCTCCCTAACCGCCAACTTCTCCCACTACATCACCATCAGTACCACCCTATTCTGGGCTAGCTTCTCCTTGGTTGACCTCAATGATTTCGAGGAGTACAGTGCCCATATAATGGCTCTGCTCCTGATAGCTTGCTACATAATCCTCTCATCGGGGCTGCTGGCAATGCTGCTCTTTGCCATGATTAATTATCAGTACACCAAAGCTAAGAAGAGGTTCGAGACAGAGTGGAAGTTTCTATCAGTCAAGCTCACCCACGAGTTCTCCCTTCTCCACCCCTCCATCATACCCTTCAACCTGATCTCCCTGCCTATCAGCCTGACTGCTCAGGCGCTGGTCAGGATGTTTGGTGACTCAAACAAGCTAACTTTGTTTGGAGGCAAGGATCAGGTAAATCTTACAATTGTTACCATGCACAGTGTACATATTACACAGTTACTCTAACTTTTACATGATTTTGCATACTACTGAGTTTGATATGCATGACTTCATTAATGTATTGTTATATTGGCCTATTTTTGTTTTCCGTACATGATATCCGTGCAATACGGTAATATTGCCGATAATACATGACAAGATAGTAAGATGAGAAATTCAAATCGTTTCTAATGTACAATATCAAAACTGCGGAGATTTCTTGAGGAGAATTAAAACCAAAAAGTCGATGTGTTTGACGAATAATTTATGAAATCACCAAATAAAATAATGATATAAGCTGAATATAGAGTTGACATTAACATTGTGTTCAGGTTGTGGAGCCACACCTCGTGTACTACATTCAGAGCAAAGTGATCCTTAACCCTGATTGTGAAGAGGAAAGACAGCTCTCATCCAGTCCCTTGCTACTTCTCATCTCACACGCAAATCATGGCCCGGAATCTCTATTAATAGTAAGTACTACTACTTTAGATGATGGGTTTCATATTACGAATATTTGTTAGTTTTAGTGGCTGCAGTATTGAAAGAAGTTAAGAACACCGTCTTTTTTTTCGGACTATATTCTGTCGCCATAATTATGCCATAGCTTGAATTTGTAAGTTTGGCAGTACCTAAGAAGCCCTATCCAGTCCGCAGACTACTTATGACATGATGATAAGCAGATCATACAAACATGTATGTACACATAGCCGTCCACTTACTAGTGACTAAAGCAAGTTTCACATCATCGCAAGTAGGGTTAGTCGATAGTTCACATCATCGCACGCCAATTTCAATGGTGTCAAGCTTGTTAGGCAATAGGCTCGTTTAAACTACCTAGCCTTTACATCATGCAATATATAAACACTCAATATTATCAGACCACATCACTCATTTTCACCTACAACAACACCGGCTCCTACCTCCACAACAATTTCCTAATCAATTCTCCATGGTCCTAACTCCTATCCTGTGATCCCATTTGTAAAACTACCGCTTCTCTTGACAAGTCTAATCAAGTCGGTAAATCCCTAGTCGTCTCCAGACTCCAGAGGAATAGTTGTTGTTGATGATAACGGTAATTTATAATACTCCATAGGAATCAAATGATTTATACACCACACTTTGATAAAAATCGTTAATTTCATTGAGCAATTTACTACGTAATTACAATTAATGTTAGTCGTAACTAATTGCATCCAAGATACCATGATACCATTCATATGTACATACCATTCATACATATCATTCAACTACTATGCGGACATATTATATGATCTGCTTACAATAATACAATCATATCATATGTTGTCCGCGGACTGGGTCGAGCTTCTTGGATACTGCCGTACGTTTACATCTTACAAAAGTAGAAAGTTGTTTTTGTCTTCCATATTTGCATATTATTACATATTTTACATATTTTACATATAATTTGCTTGTTCAGAGCTTCAGAAGAACCCTGGAGCTAAAGACGAAGAAGACGCTCAGTCCATGACCTCGTCCCCCACTGGTCTTCTGGACCCAGCACTCGCCCTGGAGAGGATGTCTTGCAACCTCGAAAAACAGGTATATAGTACTCTTAACTTAATATAACTTAATATTACTTAACTTAATATAATTCACGATTTTATTTTGAACTGTTAATTATTATTTAAAGTCGACTACCTGTAAGAATTTGTTACAATCTAAGAAACACATTACCACCTTGCTTGTAAATTTGCTTTTACACTTAGATACCAGACTTAGCTAACTGCTTGCGGAGATCGAATTATGTCCAAATTACATCTCTGAATTTTCAGGAGCACTCTATATCGGAGTTGAGGCGGGCCAACCAGGAGCTCACCCTAAAGCTAGACATCCTGTTAAAGCGTGTTCGAAGTAACAACCACAGCTCTGAATGTTAAATATAATTTATATATCTTCGCTTTTTTATTTGCTCATTAATAGACTCTAGGCGTATTATGTTTTGCTGAGTTAATGGGAGTTTGTAACTGGTTGCAAGACTTTTGAAATATGTTGAAACGCTGCTGTTCAGCGATTTGTGCTGTTTATTAAATTATGGTATAAAATGGGAGCTCCACACCAATACAAATACTAAAGAGCTGAATAAGCCTCAATAAAGTCACTAGAAAGGAATTTTTCACTCTAGAGAAAACATTTTTCGTAAGTTACCCATAAATTGAATTCCACTTAATATGTTGAAGAAAACTTCAGCTGTTTTAAAAATTCAATCCACCGCAACCTGACCTAAGTTTCAACGAATTTAAACATGAAAATGTGCATAGATTCATGATCATCTTAGATTTAAATTACTGATTAATAATACTTACGATGATAACATCAGACACCACAGGAGTTAAATAACTAAAATTCAAAGTAGTACCACCTAAGTCATTAGTGTATATTGTTTTATGGCTATAAACGTCTGGTCCAGTTATATATGTTTTTAACTTATTTCAACACTTCAAATCTTTACATTTATTGAGGACTTTACAGTAGGATTTAATGTAGTTCGAGGAGTCCTACTCCTTCTCGCCTAAGATAGCGTTTCTCTGTCTCATAATATGTGGACAATGTATATACTCCCTCTTCTTCAAGTCCCTAACTCTTTAGCCTTTATTTATATAAGTAATGACATAACTTACATTATATTTTTAAATACACAGCTTTCTCTCTTTTTCTTTCTTCTCTCTCCTTTCTCTCCTTGTCTTTGACATGAACTAGCAAACCACTCCTTGTACCAGCTGTTACAGTCCTCACAGCTTCACATTATTTGTGAGATTATAATACACTTAGCATCTCAGTTCACTGTACTAGCTCAATTCATATAATCTAGAAATTCAAACTTTATTGCAACACCTAGCCTGTCTAAAGTCTTATCTATGAAATATGAAATGAAAAAACTGACGTAACACGTGGTGCTTCAAACAGCGTTCCGTATTATTGGTGTTGTTGTATGAAGTACATGCAGTAGAAACAGTGTTCCGTATTATTGGTGTTGTTGTTGTTGTTGTTGTATGAAGTACATGCAGTAGTAACAGTGTTCCGTATTATTGGTGTTGTTGTTGTTGTATGAAGTACATGCAGTAGAAACAGTGTTCCGTATTATTGGTGTTGTTGTTGTTGTTGGTGTTGTTGTATGAAGTACATGCAGTAGAAACAGTGTTCCGTATTATTGGTGTTGTTGTATGAAGTACATGCAGTAGTAACAGTGTTCCGTATTATTGGTGTTGTTGTTGTTGTATGAAGTACATGCAGTAGAAACAGTGTTCCGTATTATTGGTGTTGTTGTTGTTGTTGGTGTTGTTGTATGAAGTACATGCAGTAGAAACAGTGCTCAGTTTCTTATCTCCTAATAAGGATCTAGAATACCTAGAATGGTAGGTTGAAACGTTTCTGTGAGTAGAGTATACACATTACACTTCCGTAAGAATCTGTTGGCAGAAACAGCACATTATCTGATAAGAGAGATGGGATAATAACGGAACTCATTTCCTATGAACCCTCACCGATTAGCTTTAACAATCTCTACTGCTGTTAACTAATCTGTATTTAATTTTTTGCTACTTTTTCTAACCAGAATTTAGTGCGGGAGCTAGATACGGGACTAAACACGCGTTTATTTTTGGTTCAACAATTCGCTGTCTGTAATAATTGTCGAATTGTTATTAATCAGTACTAAATTCGTGAATCTGGATCATTTCATTTACTCGTTAAAAGATTAAGAAATAAACACTGCAAGGCCTTGCAAAATTTGACAAAAATCGTTAAATCATTGGGATAAAATCTTTTGGAGCTTCTCTCCTGAAATTTTTTGAGCAAGCCGAAATTTCAGGATATTATGTAATATGTGTCATGGTCTCGTGCTATGAAATTCAAAATAATTTACTTTTAAATTGCTCAATTAACTTGCGTTTTGTATCGATTATTTTTCTTATTAACATATAATAATTATTATGGCAATTAAACTTTTGGTAGGTGTAACTGATAGGTTTATAATTATAAAACTTCTTTCAAGATAAGAGCAACATCCTTAATCATATCTACTCTGATCATTTTTGATAGCATTAATATTATTCAACATTTATATCGGTTTATCTGGATATGAAATCATAGCTAGTGTTTAATTGGTTTGATGCAGTTGCTAGTTTGGTTATAAAGTTTAATTTGTTGTGGGTTTATAAAATTTTGTAAATTTTGCTGGTTAGAAACTCAGTTTGAAAACTCGATAACACCTGGTTAACTCATGATGCATAACGGAATTTACTAAATGCTTTAATACTTTGAAATTGCTGAATTATTTGTTATTAATCTTTTTTTTGCATGTCCTGTTTAAATGCAGTTTATGGGCTGTCCCCGTTCATGCAGTATTCGTTTTTGAAATTTTTGTGATAATCAAGCCTTAATGATGGAATATATCTACTTGGTTTTTAAACAATAGAATCTCTTTTTTTGTATTCTGATGAATAGTTAAGACAACATTTTAAACGAAATAATCTTCTGAATTTATTTTGCAGAATGTCGAATAACCTGTAGGTATGCTTATAATATTATGTTGAACTAAAATTTGAAGGTATAGGGTACCGTAAATCGGTTTGACGAGTCGAACGATACCTAAAATTATCATCATTAGTTGTTTAATAATCCTTCGAGTCTTTAATTTAAATTTAGATCTTATTCTTGGGTTGAACGCCATTGAACTTATAAACTTATAAAACAACACGTTTTTATAAACTTATAAATTTATAATAACCTTAATAATGCTGGTATAATTTGTATCCTAATTGATGTTTTGTTATCTTACTCGTTAATAATAATATGTTATTGTTATTATATCAACATGTGTTGCTATCTTGATAAAATATTAACCTCACGTTATCTTTAAATGCTGTTTAACAACATTATTGGTTATGTAATAACAATGTTAAGTTGTTGATTTAAATCAATCTCCTCGTTTTATTTCATCCTCCATGCAACGCTTAAACTAAATCTATGAAAATAAAATTGTTTGAGAACTGAGTTAAATTTTTGGGACATGGACTGGTCATGGTTGTAATAAAATTTTAACCGTTTTTAAAAGTGTGTATGTATCGTGAACACCCTGTATATTATCAATAATTCATACTTTTCGTAGGAATATAAGACATTTCAAATATGCCGTGAGTATTTGATTTTGATTTTTTTTTTTTTCAATTTTTTATAATTGTAACTACCATAACCAAACGAATGCATTATTTGTTAAATAAACAAACGTGTTAAGTAACCTCAATTCCAAAAGCTTGTGCAATAACAATTTCATCATTTAATTCACCAAATAACCCTGCTTGAGCAATAAAACAACTATCTAAGGGTATTTTTTATCGCAGGGACAAATCAACAGTGGGCGCTGTTACCAGCATTTTGACAGGGGTTGCGGCTAGCGCTACATATGTAACGGGCTTTACTTATGTTGGAGTCGTAGCAGGATCAATAGCGGCAACTGCACAGGCTGCAGCTGGAAACGTGGCTGCAGGGGGTTGGTTCGCTTTCATGCAGAGTGTTGCTGCCACAACAGCACTTGGAACTCCTGCAGCTGCTATTGTAGGAGGGGTTGCCATCGTAGGGGGTGCAGCAGTTCTCGTCAAGAAGTTGCTTTAAAAGGAATCCTGCTGTTTTACTGATGTGAGGGAAATTACTTGTACTTGTAGAGAGAGAACTGTATGACTTTTTAGACAAAACCATACTTTATTATAATTCGCTTGGTTTGGCCAGCAGCCGAATCATGCCTTTTTTTACACTTTTTTACCTTAGAAAATGTGTGATTTTGCATTCAATTTTGCAAATTGTGTATTTCATTTCATTTCAGAGAATATATTACAGTATAATGTTTTATTTTATCTCTAGAGTATTTCGTATTGTTCATTTTCGTAGTGCTATATTTTTGTACTAATAAGTTTAGAGGATACAGTTTCATGTTGCTATATAGAATTAAAGAACTAACGATTGTTTCACTTATTTAATGACTATTGATATAGAGTAGTAGAAACTATTATATTGATATAACTCAGGCTATTTGAGTATTTGAGATATTAAACAATGTAGATCATTCAATTCCGCTTTGTTATTGATTCGTTATTGAGTAAAACTTCGTTTTCTGCGTTGGTTTTCCCAAGATGGGGATAATGAATATAAGCAATGTTTGTTAAGTATCATTCATTATTGTGATAATAGCATTACATTAGGGAGGTTCTTTATCTCATTTAGCTATTCGAATAATTTCAAGTGAATTTTGATAATATTATAGGATTATGGAAGATGTACTTGAAGGAGAATCTGCGAATGAGTAATTATTAAAACGTTTTGCTTTTTCCGGATGCCTTTATTTTGAAAACTAACTCTATCACGATCTAGAAATGTTTACTATTGAGTATTGATTAGATAGAAAGATAGAATATGGTTAATTATAATTATTATATGTTCTATCCTGTAACCTTTTTCATTTCTTTTCAGTTTCAATCTATGTGAAATAGGGGCGGAAGGAGTCGGCGCTCTTACCGGCCTTTTCTCCAGCCTCAGTATACCCTGGATGGCAGGATTTACTGCAAATGGTATAGCCGGTGGGTCAATCGCTGCTGCAATACAAGCTTACTTTGGGAATGTCGCTGCCGGTTCTGCTTTCGCGTTCTTACAAAGTCTGGGAGCCACCTCAATTCTTGGTACTGCTGCAGCTCCGGTTTTTGCAGTTGCTGGCGCTGGAGGAGCTGTGTCATACTATGTATTTTGTTAGAATGTGTGAGGAACTAGACTGTGAGGAGATGAATAGTAAATGAATAATATGCCAATTATGGGTAAACTATGCATATGCAAACAAAATTATTCTTCTGGGTTTTTAAATCACGTATTTATGTTTTTGATTGCATTTTTTAAGTTGTTAATTTTCTATTGTATAGAATTCAACGATGATTAAATTCTTATTGATTGTAAGTTTTTATAATACAAGTTTTTATAATATAAATTTTATTGCAAGTTTTGATTATGTGATTTTTTTATAAGTTTTATTGTATGTTTTGATTTTTCCAATTATGTTCACTAGTTTACGTTTGAGTTAATAAATTATGATGATTATATATGAATTTTACTTGATAGAGTGCTTAATCTTAAAGTTAAATGTTTTTCCAGGCTCTAATGATGTAGTTTTACGAAGATTTTTTTTTTCAAGCCTTGTCCAAAAGCATTATTATATGTTCACTAGTTATTCGAAAAATTTCATCATTCAAATTTTGTGAATATCAAAAAAACAATCAACTGACTAACAAAAGCACAGCTTTAGGTGTAAGACAAGAGCAAAGCAAGTTTGTAACTGAAAAAAAAGCCTGTGAAGTCGGTTTGTAAAATGGCTGCGAAACAAGAGGTTGATGTTCTCTTGTACAAGCTGTCTAAAGCGGGAGATAGCAACATACCAACTCTACTTTTACAGGTTTGTTTAACTTATTGCTTGCTTTAACATAATTTTCAATTAGCTTAAAATCTACAATTTTGTTATAAATTATTATTTGTTCTGGGAATATTGTTGAAATCCAATGATATCCGCGATGAATCCTACATCACTAACAAGTAAAGTGAATAACTCCCCTAAAATCATGATCGATAATGAAGTTGTTACTGTTCCAATCTACCAGATAGAACAGCTGCTGGAACAGCATGATAACAGGGAGATCAGATCACTGCTCTGGGAGAACGAGATCATGAGGTACGTTTGAGACATGATACCTTCAGGGTTATTAAGTAACTGATAATTGTGGTTTTGTCAGACCATAATCTGACAAGAAGTTTTATATCCGTAATTAAATAGTGATTAGTGTTTCAACAATATTATCAATACCATGAAAAGCAGGATATTGCACATAAATCTTACATCTCTCTCCATCACCCCAGCACCATGACAGATGTGATAAAACAAGATTTTGAGGGGTTGAGGGTGCCCTGGAGCACGGCTACTAAACTCTGCACTCTCCTAGCTAAGTGCTGCATGGGCTTCACTCAGTCACAGGAGTTTTCTGGTGTTTTCCTCCCTTTGGTGGTCGATAGTTTCATGGAACTAGCCAATAACATTCAAGGTTCAACATTAAGTACACTCGCTCGATATTATGCACCAACTGTGCACTGACCATATTATATATTAGTTTTGGTTGATCAATATTTTAAATCAAATTCCTGACTTCCTGACCAACCACCTAGTTGAGAGCCTGCATGGTTTACATTTAATCAATTTAATAAATCTGTAGTAGTTGTATAGCAATACTAAAGTTATGGGATGTCACCATTTTACCTTCACACAGACATCAAACGCTCTAAGAAGATGACGATCATACCTCGTTAAATTTAATAAATCATAATTGGATAACAGTATAACCATTAACCTTGGTCTCACACTGTAGCTCTGGTAGATTACGTAATGCGTTAATAAAGTACATAGTTCTAGCCTCTAGGGAAAGATATTTCTATTAGCTTCCATCACCACTGTTACCCTGTTAATTCCCCTTGTTACCCTGTGAATCACCTCGTTACTATGGTTATCACATTTAAAGCCGTTTTTATCATCCAAATCTGACTATCACCCCCAGGACTTGTATCTCCAGACGAGGAAGACTTCAGACAATGTCTGGAATGTGTGTTCTGGTTGGTGGACTACTCCCCCTCCTTCGGACAGACCATCATTGAGTCCCCGAGACTCCTTACCATGCTCATGACTGAGAGTAAGTTACCATGTTAATAGTAACCATGTTAACAGTAACCATGTTAACAGTAACCATGTTAACAGTAACCATGTTAACAGTAACCATGTTAACAGTAACCATGTTAACAGTAACCATGTTAACAGTAACCATGTTAACAGTAACCATGTTAACAGTAACCATGTTAACAGTAACCATGTTAACAGTAACCATATTAACTGTAACCATGTTAACGGTAACCATGTTAACAGTAGCCATGTTAACAGTAACCATATTAACTGTAACCATGTTAATGGTAACCATGTTAACAGTAACCATGTTAACAGTAACCATGTTAACAGTAACCATGTTAACAGTAACCATGTTAACAGTAACCATGTTAACAGTAACCATGTTAACAGTAACCATGTTAACAGGCAGTGTGGGTATAGACATGTGTTTATTGAAGTTACTGAGAGTAGTGCTGACCCAATCTACTGCTGCACGGTACTACATTGAACGTGATAAACTTCTGGTAAGTTACTATTACATCTCATATTATCTATTATATATAATATTACCTTAATTCCCAAAAATTTGGGCGACCAAAAATTTGAGCGGGCCTCTCGCCCAAATTTTTTGCAGACCAAATTTATTGCATAAATCTTTTCCGTCTGCTAAATTTTTTGCTAACCAAACTTTTGGCATTTGGCCTGTGGCCCTGAAATCTATAGAAAGATGGCTTTTTCTTCATATCCAAGTGAAATAATATTTGAAATTTTAGTTTTCTAATCTGTCATTCATGGCTTGGCCAAGTAAAAAGGCTTATATTTTAAGCGAATAGAAATAACTGGAATAGCTAACAGCTACTTATAAAACAAATGGCTAGAGGTACAGATAGCTAGAGATTTAAACAAGATCTGCAAATGGATTATCATCCACAGTAAAGTTTGATCTACAAGCATCAGTTATATCCGATTGGCGATTTCTCAAAGCCTTTCCTTATGTCATCTGGCTTCCCTTTTAAATATACAAAAAGTTCGTTGATCCAACGAGCGTGTACTTCACGGATCACTGTCAAGCAGATATCAATTTTCACATTGTCTGATGAAACTCCTCCATTGAGCTGACACACTATGTTTTTCGGTACCAATCTTCGTACTTATTGCGCATGAATTTCTTAGCCAGTCCAGGGGCTAAAGAGAGACTAAATATCACTATTGTATATCTATCATTTTGTACTGTGCCATCATCACTGTATTTTTTAGTAGTTACTGGGCAGATCGTAAATTTCATAATGTGAAACAACTCAGACTATCACCTACATGCTTAAAATTGAAAGCAAAATGACTGGAATAATAAGGAATAATAATGAACTAAGGCAAATATCTAACTGAAATTTTAGTGGAAAATCGTTCATTTTTCGAAGAATTTGTGCCCAAATTTTCGGTCGCCCAAATGAGTTCAAATTTTCTGCCCAAATTTTTCGGGCTCAAATAAATTGTGCTCAATATAATGGCACACAATTTTTTGGGAACTAAGGTATTATCTATTATGCTAATATACTCAGTTTAAGGTATTTTGAGAAACAGCGTTTTTTAATTTTCATATTATTGCTAGGACTATTCGACTAACGAATAGAAGTCTGTTGAAATTATTGCACATTACTGATTGTGTCTGCAAGAATTTGCTGCAGATAATCGAATCATACTGGCCATGAAGTCATCATGAGCTGTAACTCTCAAGTGTATAATAACCTTGATTAAAATCATAATTACCTTCATTAAAAGTTTCCATTAACTACAGGTGATATTTGACGAAGTAATGCTGAAGATGACAGAACAAGATATTCCGGCACTACAACAGATTGGAGCTGATGTCATCTACCAGGCTGCCAAACGACATCAACCTTTCAGAGTTAGTTCTTATTTTATACCAGGCTGCCAAACGGCACCAACCTTTCAGAGTTAGTTCTTATTTTCTATCAGGCTGCTAAACGGCACCAACCTTTCAGAGTTACTGAGTTAGTTGAAGACGATATTTCCAAATTTGTATTTCGAAAGCTCCTGCTACCATGCTATCATTTATCTGTTTCAAGAATCCCCTCTCAAGTTGTTTGTATTTTCTCAGTCTTAAGACACGTGTTAAGATACGCATGGTTAATTCTCACACTCAATAATACATTTGCATTGCTAACTATTATCATAATTCATCGATTATCATAATATGATCCCAATTATCATTATTATCTAATTAAATATAATTATGAGTCTAATTCATAAATGTTCAGAGTATACTGCTGGAGAACGGAGAAGAGGTTGTGGATTTGTTGGAGGTTATCAACACAGCTCCCGGTGCCCACGATAACATTAACATGCTACTCAAGTGAGTTACTAAAGTTACTAAAGTTACTAAAGTTATTTAATGAACCGATCATATCACTGTGATAGTACTACTACTACTATGTCGGAACTAAGTCCGATCTACTCCAGATAATTCCCTCCATATATCCCTGTCCCGCATCAGGGTTTGCTGTTCCTCTTTAGAGTTTGTCCCAACTTCCTTCAGTATTATAGACAAGTAGCTTTGTTTTGGTTGGCCTTGCTGTGCTGTACCATGCATAGGTTCCCATAAGACTAAATCACTGGCAAGTAGCTCAGGATGTCTGATACAGTGTCCTGCACCGTGATAGTAATAGGTGTAAAACGTTGATTGTCCTCCATTTTCTCGGGTAACCATACTGTTAAGGATAATGGGGTAATATAATGGCGGATAAAGTTTAACCCTATATTCCACCACGTGTAAAACTAGTGGTTGGTGTGGTATTATCCCAGTTTAGGAGGTACACAGTACTTCAACACAGATTCCTGATAGAGCTATGATGTAAACTTGTACAAGTGCCAGTAATAATTACGCGTACTGTAGACTGTTGTAAGAGCTTGTGTACACTTGTACAGGGCAGCTGTTCAGTCCAATTCAATTGTTCTTGACAGTTTGGTTAGTTTACTGTCACCACTGTTCCTACCTGTAAATACTGCGTGTCCATGGTAACGGCGTTATAAGTTACACCATGTTACCATGGTAACGGTGTTATAAGTTGCACCACGTTACCAATTACCGTGGTAACGTGGTGTAACTTGTTACCATGGTAACTACATTTCAGGTTACACCACGTTACCATGGTAACCGTTTACCGGTATCGGAGGCAGCAGACAGTAGAAACTAGAGAGTTGCCGTATTGCCTACATATTAAATAACTCGAAACGTCTTTGATAATAATTACTCAAATACTATTGTCTACTTTACACTAAACGTAAACTTAAATAATTTCGTTTTGAACTAAATATTTATTTAAGCCCAGGTGCTCATTAGTAGTTATCATCAGCTAAATGAGGAAACGGTTTTAATTACAATATCCATAATTCGTTTTAACCAAACAATTATTCTTTAGGTATATTGACAAACTGAGAAGAGATGAAGCAGAAAAGGCGCGTCTAGACTCCTCTGCCACGAAAATACAAGCGTTTTACAGAGGTTACGTGACACGGAGGGAGCTGCGCCTCAACTCCCAGCGTATCAGCAAGTTCCAGCTAAAGTTCAGGGACTGGTTGAAGAAGAAGAAGGAGAGGGAGGAGGAGGAAAAGGATACAGAGTTAGAAAAAGAGCTGTCATCGAGAAAGGTGCGAACGAAAATAGCTGCCCTTTATTTTACATTTGAATTCAGGAACATTTGTTCTTACTGGTTGACTTGTTGGATAGTTGGAGCTTTAAATATGTATCTCATATTTAGTGCCACAGAAATACTAAAAGATTATGAAATTAAGAGCAATTACAGACAAAGTAAGCCCATTGCTGTAACTAAATGTGGTTCAGTTGAGCCTCAACTTTAAGTTGGACAGGAAATTAATTGACTCAGTTTAAATATTCGCTCGTTTTTGTGAGACACCATATCAATAAGAGCTTGCTGGATCTCAACATGTTCCATTATACAGTATACACCAGGTTACCATGGTAACTACCTTGTGTTCAGGCACGTGAGAGGAGAAGAACCAGGCTACAAGAAGAGGCGAGCAAGCTCCGTACAATACCAGCCAGCAAGATACCATCGCACCAACATGAGGTTAGTGATATTATTTATATTATATAACATGTCAGTGTACTCAATATTCATTTTAGAAATAGTACCTACCTAGAAGTAATTAGAGTCTGGTTTAGTAGTTGATCAATTGTATTATTATATGTTATATATTATATATTATGCTCATGTGCACTTAATTATCCATTATCCAAGAGGCCCAACACAGCTCTATGCTCTGTAGAATTCTACAGAAATATATCATACGCCTAGTACCCTATAATCGAACACTATATGGGCAATTTCATGAAACATGAACAAGGAGGGAAAAAATTAATTTCAGTTATGGCACTAGCTTTGATTGGAGTCTGAAAGAGAAGATTATAAACTGTTAGACACAAAAAACCGCTTATAAATATCTCACTTCGTTTCTGTGTTATCGCGTTTTCAAAATACCCATAAATTGTCATGTTTTACAGGCTAAAACTACTCTATAATAAAAGCTGTTTACTAAAAAGAGATTGTTGTAATATTCATTAATTCTTGATCTGTAAAGGTGCATACCACTTCACTGAAGCTGTATGCAAAATTTGGGACTCAAAATTTAAGCAGATTCTGAGCAATGCTATTCTACTTTCTCCTGTTTTTAGTGTAAATTACTATACATAAAAAACAAAAAAGTTTTCTGCTGGCCACATTTCATGTTATTTCTTGCTGAAATCTTGCTAAAACAAGCTAATTCTGATGTCAAGACATAATGTACTTGTTTATTTAGATCCATAGATATCAGATCATGTCAATACCAGCGTCAAGTAAGTTACATGTCAAGTAATTTACGTGTCAAGTAATTTACACATATGCTTTTTATTCAGTAATAGTAGTAAAACACAACAAGTAACGATTGTCAAACAGAATAAAAGTTATTTAAAAGTGATAATAGATTGGTTCTGGTCAGAATTTCATTAAAGAAATCTATAAAAATGGTTTAAAATGGTTAAAAATTGACTTTTCGAAAATATAATATAAATAATACTTTACTTTACAGAAAATTCAGTGGCCTGCTTGAACACAAATTTTTGAGCTGGGAAACATTCGTACATTTACGCCCATCTACCTACTCTGTATAACTGGGCTAACTGTGGACCCAATCAGTGGATCAATCAACCAATTAAGGGCTTAAGGGGGCCGGGGGGTCTTCATCAAAATTCCCTCGAAATTGACTTTTTAGTTGTTTCTGATAGAAGGGAGTGATATCTATCAGATGCTTTTAGTCCCATGGAAAAATATTATTCCTAGCCGAAATTATTGTCGGTCAAAGATCAGCACTTATGTGTAATTGTATTGCGCGAGCGAATTTCAATCACGTGTCCTGAAAATCGAGTCTAAAAATCTATTTTCTCCTACATGTTTTGAGCAATCACCCTGAAACTTTCAGGATATGTTCTAGAGATAATTTAAAAGAGATGAGCCAAACAGAATTTTGAGATAGGCCTTTAAACATATTTTATTCGATTTTGAAAATCTTGAACCTCGTTTTTTGACGATTTTTTGAGGTCCAAGATTTTCAAAAATTGAAAATCGCTCGCGCAATACAATTACACATAAGCGCTGACATTTGACCGATAATAATTTCGTCTAGGAACAATATTTTTCCATGGGACCAAAAGCATCTGATAGATATCACTCCCCTCTATTAGAAACAACTATAAAGTCAATTTCGAGAAAATTTTGATGAAGGCCCCCCCGGCCCCCTTAATTGGCTAATGATAAACTGATATATCATTATTAATCATATATTACATAGTTCATACACTTAGCAAACGAATTAAAGACAAAGGGGCAGCTTTAAACAGTTAAAATCAAAGGATTGTGTAACAGTGTAAACTACTTGACACAAAAGAGTAACTTACTTTACAAGGAACAAAGGCTTCTACAGAACACAGCTATTAACTATTTACCAAAACAAACCCTTTCCAGTACAGGCAAGACATTTGCCAGTGTGCATGAAAAATATTTAAATGTTTACTCTCACACCTGGGCACGAAATGAGATTTCAATACACGTTGGTCAGGAATGTCAATTTGTGCCCTGTAATTTACTTTACATTTTCAAACGTGCCTCACTCAAAAGCCATAGCAGTTGGAGTAAAAATCTTAATATAGCTGTGTGTGGAGTACATAAGAGATGTTTCATGCAATTTATCATGATTCTGTTATGTTTGTGTAATGCTTGAGAGTCAGAATAAGGCCAAATTTTTGTGCAAAGTGTAATTTACTTTACGTGAAATCGCCCATATAATATAAGTCTAACCCTGATCCCAATCCTAATTCCACTGTAATATTAATTCGGTGGAATTCTACGGAGCTGAGTCTGGCTTCTCGTTTTTAATTATTATTATTTAATTATCTTTTGCTTATGATAATGTTAATTGTGGGCGGTATGTATTAGAGCTTCTAATTGGCTGATGAGCTAATTAAATGTTCACTAATTAGCTAATTAATGAACAGTTAAATCAGAAAATCATTTCCCCTCCTGCTATGTTATTATAACCAGCCTCAAATACCTCCAAATATCGGACCACGTCTTGTTTATATTATTATTGTAGCTATTATCTTAACAATTGCTCTGCCTCACGAGGAAGACAATTACTATTGTTTTATCTTTTACTCATGTCAGTGATTATTGTCTACCAATGTCAGTGATTATTGTGTCGGTTAACGGTTTACCACAGCTCTAGTATGTCTTCACTCTACCACGCTAGATTACAGTGAGCCAAATAGTTACAATAGTTACATGCTTCACGTGCCTCTGTGACATACATTCGAGACATTCCAGTCAGTTCTATGTGAGTCGTGAGGGTGTGTATTTTATCAAGACGTGTACTGAGCTGCATTATATTATTACACTTGTGATTTGAGAAACTTTAACTCCTTATTAACATTATAACAGCTGCACAATGTGAAGTTTTTTGTTACTTTTTACAGTGTATGTGGTAAGGTAGAGCTTTCATTTGAGACTATGGTCAATAAAAGTGTGTATTTTATCAAGATGGGTACTAGTTCAGTAAAAGTTAAAACCCCGATTTACCGCGCCCCTATTTACCGCAAACCCCGATTTACCGTGGACATATCCTTCCCCCAAATAGGGCTTAACATGCATAGTGTAAACAAACAAAACCCCGATTTACCGCGAACCCCGATTTACCGCGGATGTTTCCTTTTCCCCCTAACTCCGCGGTAAATCGGGGTTTTCCTGTACTGTGTATTATTGTAACCAGTGATTTGTGAAAGCTAAACACCACGGGAGTGCAAAATAACGAAGGTTTTCTGCAGTATGACTGTTTTATTTACAGTCTGGTATTTTGTCGTGGTCTAGCAGTGTTTAAACAGTAAGGATGTGGTTTTTGACACGTGGTTACACGCACGATCCCTTCAAATGTAATGTTAAACAATGAAGTTTGGTGTTACAAAACGTGGCCGAATGACATGTTTTAGCGTAGTTATAATAGTAGTGTACAAAGTGTTAATTTTTGTCATGACAAGTGATTTAGACTGAATCCAGACATGTGGACACACTGTATACGCAATATACAGCGACAATCATTATGTAGTACTATACGTCATTACTAATATACTATACGTGTATTTTAGCACTGAGATCAGCACTTTAGATTATTAAAGAGTTAACACTTTGTAACAGAGTTTTTGGTAGTGATCATATCAGCTAGCTGTTGAGCATGATATTATGATCATAATATCAACTAGCTGTTGAACATGATATTATGATCATAATATATCAGCTAGCTATTGAGCATTATATTATGATCATAATATCAGCTAGCTGTTGAGTATGATTTGACACGCGATGTCAGTTATGTGTAATTTTGTGATTATTCGTCCTCGAATGAAAGAACAAGAGGGCTGTTCTTTCGTAGAGGCATTAACTCATTAAGTGCTTTGAAATTTACGTTGGTAACTTTCTCTTCGAATTTTAAAGAAATCTAAACGTCTTACGTCACTGATCAACCAGGGCAGTAGGTTAGCAGTTCAAAAGGTTTTTGTCTGCGATCTGGATGATCTGGATGATTCGTCATACATGACGTGACCTTTGTTTTGTTTAATAAACATCAACTACTCACAGTCAAAGTTGAAAGTGACGTCATCAAAAGCGATCAACCCATGTCTGGAAACAATAACCATTTGCATTATTAACCCCAATTAAGCACGCCCGAAAGTGAGACAACTTTTAACCTATACTGTGTGAAAACGTGCATGTTGCCATGGTAACCATGTTGCGAAACTATAGGCGTAATGCTGTTTTGCGTGGTGGCATATTTACCAGCCAATTTCAGCTGTGTTTAACACATACTAGTCTATACAACACTCGGGGTGATTTATATTACTATCATTATATTTGTGGAGGTGTTACAGTAAAATGAAAAGAGCTCTGGGAATGTTTTGATTAATTGCACCTTGGGGCTGGGTTCAAATATTTGCATTTCTAGGCCCAGGTATACTGTTGAAGTGTTGAAATACCTTATAAAATACTTTATAACCTGCATATCTGCAATGAAGCCTGAGGGTAGAGTATTAAGAATCCGTAGTTCCTAAAACTTTATCGAACATGAAGTGAACAGAGAAGTGGATCATGGAAATTTGGCATGAGTTATCCCAAGAGTTTCTGCAAATAATATTTATGGAGAGAATAATTAATTAATTAATCTCAGGTGGCAAGTGCAGCTGCTAGTAAAATACAGGCCAGCTGGAGAGGTTACAGTGCGAAGAGGGAGGTAGAGAAGATGAGGAAACACAGAGAACAGACCAGAGCTGCTGTCTCAATCCAGAGACAGTATCGTCTTTACAGGTAAAGTGAGGGGCATGTTATAAACACCTATCGGCTATCACCATGGTGACGACACGCGTAGTTACCTGTTACGGTAGTACAGAACTCATGTTACCCTCTAATTACCCTCTATTACCGATATGTTACACCTTCAGGACTGGAGCTAGTTACAGTAGCACAGGATTGTTACCCCCGGGTTTAACTGCAGACAAGGTCAGGGAGCTCAACAGTAAAGTACAAAAGCTTAACCAGCTGGAGGAAGGGGAGCAGAAGGGCGAGGAAGAGGTTAGTTTCTACTTATCAACTTTTAAACTTACACAGTTTACCAAAGTTTTAGAGTTTAGTTCTGTGTATATATAATATATATATATCTGAACACAGAGGGTGAACCATGTTAGGTTTGACACGTGACAGTTATCCTGGGATTTGATTGGTCAATACTTCACATGCTGGAAATTGATTGGTCGCGAGTATCCAGATAAATTACAAGATTGTTGGATAGAGAACCGTTTACCTCCGTTAACCCCACTTTAGATTTTACCTCAGTTTATCCCTTTTTTAGATTTGCCACATCTTATTACAACACCGGACTAAGTAATCAATATTTTAAGCTCATATCATATCATGAATTTCCTCACTTTGTAATTTGTTGTCACGCCATTTAAAGGATGGAATAAGAGAATGGCTGCATGATGAAGTGATAAGATGATAAATTATCATTGTTAATGAAATTATAAACTGTGCTCCACCCATATTATATAACATTGTAAATGTTATTCTACAGTGCTAAAATGCTAATACCTAACTTTCAATACCTCTGATGAGAAAATTCTTCTCACAGTAAGACCAGTAAATCATCGAAAAGAAAGGCCTTTAACATAATAATATTACAATATAACATAATACACAGGCTTCTTGTTAAACACAGTGAATTACACAGTGAATTACATAGATTATCCTTCAGTAACTTGACCCAGTAAACCAGATAAGTTACAGCACTGTTCGTAATTTATCGTGTATTATGGCACTGTGCTTTATTACGTGTGTTTTTAAACACATTTGACACAACAATGTTTCAGCTGGAAAAGCTGGTTTTGAAGTCACAAGATATGTATTTAAAGTACAGGAAGAATCAGGCTAATATTCGGAAGGTTCAAACGAGAAGGGAAAATCTCTGCCGTCAGGTGTGTACTGAATATTTTCACTGCTTTATTTTTTCCTAAACTGTACTGACATGACTGCTGTATGCTTACATATTATATAATGTGACTTGACATGACTGCATCGCTGTATGCTTGTGTGACTTGATCTCAGACTTGAATACTGACTTGCGCTCCCAAATATTTCTAATTACTTCGCACTGATATATTGTAACTCTTCAAAAAATGTGATTTTACAGCTGAAAATTATTCTTAGGAAAAATTATCTTATAATTTGGGTATGAACTAAACTGATTATTTCTGCGATAAGCCAGTCCTTCAGATTACAATTATCTAAAAGTTATGACGTCACAATGGTCATTTAACCGTAACACAATGGTCATGACGTCACAATGGTCATTTCACCGTAACACAATGGTCATTTATCCGTAACATTTAACCGTAACAGGCCGTTCACGTTAACAGAAAGCGAAATAAGACAATAAATTCAGATAAAATTATCTAAACTGACTTCATGATGTAACAATATAATACCTTAAGGCCAATAAATTTAGGGCACAATAATTAGGGCTACACAAATTTTGGTTACCATAATTTTAGTCAAAAATTTCGCAAATTTTTAGTCTACAACAATTTTAGTCACTTTTTTTCCGAATTTCCGAGACCATTTAAAATTCCATTTATTTGATTTTTCCATTATTTAGCTGTTTTTCCCCGATTTCGCACATGAAGTCATACTTTAAAGTCAGGCATGTCGATTAAATGATTTACATTCAATGTCTCCCTGTTTGAATTCTAACGACGAGCCAACATTACATCCATCAGTTACATTACATAACATAACATCAAATTTCTTAGTTCATGCAGTAGGATCCTTTGGGCTGTGTACAGTTAGCGATGTTTAATGGTTTATGATAACATATAGTGATAGCAGCAGTTTTAAAAGTTCAATTCTAGAGTTAAACTAGATGCAGACACTGCCTGATGGGAAAAGGAAGGAGGAGAATGTGAAAGCATAAAAGCAGTGGATTACACGTGTAATAGTCAAAGTAGTTCAGCAGTAGGAACGGTGATGCCATTATATTGATTATAAACAACGTAAGCTCAATAATATTCAATATTTATGTCATATACTATGCCCTACTAAAATTTTGGTCTGCTTTTAAATTAGCTGTTATTTGTTTTGAAACTTCCCTGAGGTGACTCGCAGTCTGTCCTCATAATACTCTGGCAACCCTTGCGTGAAATTATCGGTTACCAGTGTCCACGACTTTTCGGGAAAATAATTCCCGGAAAATATTATAACAAAAAATCCACTTTCTGCAGTTTCATCGCATACCCCATATATTATTTGCAAGTTCTACAAAATTAAGCTAAGATGTTAAATTTTTACTCAGTTCATCTATGTTATAAATGCCATACTACTTTAAACTGCAAAGCAGTTAGATATAAAATGCCGAGCAGGTAATTCTGAACGAGGAGCCAGCCAATAAGAAGCCAGCATTGCCTTGGTTGAACAACTAAAGGTGTCCGTACATTACAACTGGTGAGTTGTGCCTGGCCTCTGCAATTAAATTTGGCTCCACTCCAAATTACATTTTAAAGTTTAAAGTTTAAACAGAGCTCCCAACGTGTTGTACTCACTAATAACACTCAGCTGGTTATTACGACGACATTTGTAGAGTACAGTAGAGACACAGTACTAATGTATTCACGGGATATTATTAGACATTATTATATATTATTATCATGTCACATTCTTTTGTACGTTCGTCAAAAGATTATTTTCAGATTTTGGCCCAAATAACACGTGAAACAACGGAGAGCTTGTTATCCGGACAAATTCTTGGCTGTTCAAAAGCGGTTTTTAAATGTTGAGAAGCTTTTTGATTCCTCAGAATTCATCTTTTCGATAATACGAGTAATATTCCCGCCAGATCTCCTGACTGGGTACTATTATTAACCAGGGCCGGGGTGCCAACTTTCATATTGTTATCCGTGTCATAATATTATTTTATATTTATATCAACTCTTAAACAACGAAACAATTTTTTTGCAGAACTGTAAGTACCATCGTTTCATTTTACTATACGGCAAACCTATACCTAGGATTAGAATAGTTTTAACAAGAGATACATAAGTTTTTATTATTTATAAGTCAGGTTTGATAACTCTCTTCTAGAGTAGAGTAATACAGTGCTACATAACATATTGGTATGTACTATTTACGATGGGTGGCTATTTCTAGCGGGAGCATGTGGTGCCAGGTGCCACTGAAACGGGGTGGCTTGCCAAAAATAACTATGTTTTTTCTGGTGTTATAATAACATGGTCCTTGGAGAAGTGACATACGATACCAGCTCTACACCTTGTTTGCGAGTGTTGCAGTGAGGGGTACCAGCTCTACTAAAGGTTGTGAGGGGTTGAAGTGGCTACCAGAGGCCATGTCATGGTTAGTCACAATGTGTTGGCATCTTAATATCACTTTATCAAATATAATTTAGTTTTTGAATAATGTTTCAGTCTCACGCCATACTATATACAGTCTCCACCCTACTACAACTGTAATCTGTATCCTGTTAGTACCGTCTCAACATAAGATTTTAACCTCTCACCAGACACAACACCCTAAAACACACCTCTCACCAGACACAACACCCTAAAACACACCTCTCACCAGACACAACACCCTAAAACGCACCTCTCACCAGACACAACACCCTAAAACATACCTCTCACCAGACACAACACCCTAAAACACACCTCTCACCAGACACAACACCCTAAATCACACCTCTCACCAGACACAACACCCTAAAACGCACCTCTCACCAGACACAACACCCTAAAACACACTCCCTTTGGGATCGGTACTACATTTATTTAATATAAGTTCATTATCTGGCCTCTCTAAATGTGTCCTGGATAACAACACGGTTATAATCCGATACAATTGATCATATTGGGGGGGTACCAATGGCATAAATGGCATAATGGAGAATTGGCCAAACAAAATTTCCATTTATGCCATGAAATTTCTATGCCATTTGATGAATTTTATGCCATTTGTCTCCATTCTATGCCATTCGAAATATGAAATTTTAAAACTTTGAACTGAGAATTTAATTTAACGAATTGTCTGCACCCCACTAGTACTGTCCACCTTTATCTCTATTTATTGTACTACAACATCTATTTTCACCCATTAAATTCCTCAAAATATCCCTAGCAATGGGCATTATTGATTATAATTACGTTCAATGTATATCAATATGATATGATGGGGGGGGGGGGGGGGGTGGGCCAAGTGGATATTTGTAGATATTTGGATAATGTCATCCACTTTTTTCGTGAATTATCCATTACAATAATCTACAAATATCTACATTTATCTACAAAAAATGTATGTCTCAAATATGTGCCCAGAAATTCTACTGAATTTTTGGAGATACATGTATAAATTTGTAGAATTTGTAGAATTTTCGTGAATTATCCATTGACAATAATCTACAAATATCTACATTTATCTACAAAAAATGTAATCTCAAATATGTGCCCAGAAATTCGACTGAATTTTTGGAGATAAATGTATAAATTTGTAGAATGTCATCCACTTTTTTCGTGGATTATCCACTCTACATTAATCTACAAATATCTACAAATATCCACTTGGCCCCCCCCCCCCCCCCCTATGATGATTTGGTTGATTGTGGACAAGTGACCGGGCAGTATGGCATAGTTCATGCTACACACCGTATAACAGAGAGGACAGTCGACTGAATGCTCCCAGTCAATCGGATATCCAAATTAACAGTGGAAAACTGTAACATTACCAACTCGATTAAAATATTATTTGTTAATAATAATGATGTGTACAGATGTATCGTGTCGGGGCCGTGTTCATGTTGAAGGTTTTGAAATTTAAACATTTTCATAAGATTGATAATGATCTGTGTTTCGAATGGGTAGCCTCTTAAAAGTAATATTCATTGATATCTCGATGAACCTGTATATTAGTATTACATAACAGTTCACCAAATAACCTGAAATACTTGCTTCCTATTATACAAAATTATGATTACATAATATATTGCTTAAATATCTTCATATTCACTGCTGCATGGCGACATAGCACTCCTTAATTATTTTTCTATAATAACGTTAATCTAGTATAATCATTGTAGGATTTTGAACATCTCACAATTTGGGCTGTAGGACTGTAGAGCGGGGGACTGTATGGCGTACTTGGTCAAAAGTAGGACCCTAGAGCGGAGTCAAATCGCCAGGGTAGGAATCTAGAGCGGAACCCCCTTACCGGAACCATACTATAAGCTTATAAGGACCCTAGAGTGGAGTCAAATCGCCAGGATAGGACTCTAGAGCGGAACTCCCTTACCGAAACCATACTATGAGGACTCTAGAGCGGTACCCACATGTAAATTTTGGAGCGGTTAGAAATTCGAGATCGGACTGTAGAGTGGACTTGGTCGGAAGATTGAAATCAGATTAGATACAACTCGTGATTGATTATTATAATAGTGAGATTAGAATAATTCATGGAGTTGTTGAAGCAGAAAATTGTCCTAGATTATTTATATTATACATCATATCATATTGTAATTTTTAGATACGTTAGACAATTGTTCGGTATAAACTTCTTCCATTTGACTGAAATATCCTGATGCTACTCTAAAATGCAAAAAGATTCTTTGATAAAGAGGTATAATTATGAACTGGTCGATGTGATTTCGCTAAGCGAAATACCGACCAAGTACGTGCACTCAAGCAGATCATTTAGGAATGAGGATCTCATCGTGTGACACTTTAGCACCTACTAAGGGTATCTCATGTTCAGTCTAGTGACAGGGTATGTTCCAGATCAGATCCCATCGCATAGCGGTTCTTGTTAGTGATTTCGATAGTGCAGTATAAATGTCACAGAGAATTTAGTTTAGTATATCACATTCGATTCCTACTCCTCTTCACAACTATCTACAATATGCTGAGTAACAGTTATTACTTAACTCTTCCTGAGAAGGCCGTCTTCATCCGGGGACGAACAGCTGAGATGGGTACGGGAGAACGGACTGAAGAAGGACTACGACGAAGGAATTAACGACCCCCTTACCAATTCCTGGACTTCAGGTCCTGTTCGAGTGTGGATACGTAGACTTATGCACTATGCATCTTGCCTTTCTCTCAGTGGACGATGTTCTCCCTTCTTTCATGGAGCTCCTAGATCTTATGCCCTCCCACCTTGGCCTCGACGACTTCCTTAACTACTTCATGACGAATTGGGTACAGGGAGTTTCCACCGCTCGTAGCACCAAACCTGCCCGCTTTCCTCCGCAATCCTGGAACCTCGTCGACCGGACTACCTGCAACTTCAACTACGCAGAGGCCTTTAACAGAAAGTTTGCAGCAATGTTGGGACACTCTTACCCAACTATCTGGACCTTTCTTTAAGCCGTCTACATAGAACAGTCCACTACAGATGAGATGATGCTCAAGGAGGGTTACGGGGATGCTCCTCCTGCAAAACGAGCCCGTCAGCGTACCAAGGATAGCCGACTGGCACATTTAGTAAAAGTCTACGACGATCATGACATTGTCTCACTCTCCCACCTTGACATGTTGAGGAACGTGATGGTCGAGGAACCTGGAACTGAGTGAACTATTTTAAGATATTTGATTCGCAGTATTAATGTATAATAAGTTGTATCAATTCTATCATCATTATGTGACGACTATTATTAATCATTGATTAAAAAACATAGCTCAATCTTCAAAACTAACTTTACTCTCAAATTTCTAACCGCTCTAAAATTTGCATGTGGGTACCGCTCTAGAGTCTTCATAGTATGGGTCCGGTAAGGGAGTTCCGCTCTAGAATCCTACCTTGGCGATTTGACTCCGCTCTAGGGTCCTCATAGTATGGGTCCGGTACGGGTAAGGGGGTTCCGCTCTAGAGTCCTACCCTGGCGATTTGACTCCGCTCTAGGGTCCTACTTTCGAATTTGTTTTTCTTGAATAGTCAAATGTTTGGTATATGTTTGATATAATACATTTCTATTTTCTTTATTTGTCATATGAATCTTTAAAGATCATTCCAAGCGTTATAAAGCATGAAACATGTCTCTTATTCAAGTACTAATAATATTTGCGAATTTAAAGTCATCCTAAAGGTCAAATATGAAGACCTAAATTCATGGCATAAATTGGCATAAATGGAGAATTGGCCAAACAAAATTTCCATTTATGCCATGAAATTTCTATGCCATTTGATGAATTTTATGCCATTTGTCTCCATTCTATGCCATTGGTACCCCCCCCATCATATTCCATTGTCTAAAGGACTCTCAAAGACATGGTATCCCCGGATTGGGCGGGCTTTATCGTCATCTATCACCACTTTACCATAACACCTGTTAAAACTTGCGATCATCTGTGTTCTCCGGACACAATACCCTTTCCCTAACAATGGTATTGGTAACGTCTGTAAAATATGTTTTAAAGTATTGACTGGCTACTGTTTACCGACTATTTACGTACGCGTAGTAAATGTTTATTAACCGTAGCCAACATTCACCAAAATATAATAGTTCCATTATCCAGTAAGTGCAGTATCACCACAAGTATTGTCAATACAGGACAATATAAAGTCTGCCATTTGCCAAGTCTCAATATTCCTGTAAATTCTAAATTCCTTCCAGTAAAACTGGTTTCTCTTTCAGAGGAATTTAATATTCACGGAAAAATGCTATCAAATTGCAGTGCTTTTAAAGTTTTAATAAGATTCAAATTGCGGCCTCATAGCCTGATAAAATGAATATTGTCTGACAGAAATTAATACTCAATTTTAGCTGCAAAATTAAACTGCTAAAATGGAGACAATTTCTTCGCCATTTATTATTTAGGAGTTCTCAAAGGTCGATTGTGGAAATAACGATGACACCTCTCTGTTAAATTCTCCAGTATTTTATATTAGAAATAAAGACACATGGGACATGGGTGGTACAATTATACTGATAATATTCAGTATTTACTGATATGAGTGTTGATGTCCCTAAGTTGTTATCAGTAAAATAACAAAAAACATGTTATCAGTATAGAATACCAGTGCTAACATCTAATATGGAACATGCTGCTCAGTGCGAGGGTATATTGGATGTACTCTGACTGTAAGACGTGTAAACTTTAATAATACTGCAGGCTCTATATTATACTAGAGAAGCTGATGGCAATCATGTTGATTAGTATGGGGGTATCTGAACCATTGGTCATATTCAGCTGGCATATTGGGAGTATGTGTACACTTCCATTCTGGGATATAGAATGTACTTACGTATGTACTTTTCAAAGTAAACTACTGAAATAAGAGAAAAACCTTTCATTCTGTTATAGGTATGTTGGTTTATTGAATTTCTTTAGGCTTGAACGTTCAATGTGCTAGATTGTTACTTGATGTTTTGACTCAGCGAACTTTTAATAATATAAATTCAAATATCCATGTGAAGGCTCCAATACTCATGAAATTTACACAGGACCACCACAAGGATAGGTGAATTGTGAAGGATCCAATACTCATGAAATTTACACAGGACCACCACAAGGATAGGTGGATTGTGATTGCTTGCAGATCATGGCAAGTAAATAAGCTTTTAAGAGTAGAGTTAGTCCTACAGTTAGTTTTACAGACTCATAAATCATAATATGAAAAACTACTTATCTGTGATGTTACTTTGTAAATTGATATTTTTTTAAAGAGAATAAAAATGTTGAGACTTTTTTTCCCAAGCTTATTGAAATTTTAAAGTTAGCGTTTGATTGATCGTTGCTGTAAGCTGATCAGTTAAACGCTGTCACAACGAATTTTACCACCTTCAAAAATCTTATTCTTACGCTAGGACAAATTCAAATACTGTGACAAAATACAGTGAACAGGATTCAGCACTCAAATCAGGTTTATTTGGCTTTGATTGAGTTCGTTCTTGTAAAATTAGAATGAAAGAAAAGAACTTGTTGACTTTCGTGTGATACATTGGTAAGGCTTGTTAGGGTGAAAACAGCAGAATATTAACACCGTTTAATTATGCATGTTTAAGGATTCTACAAATGAACTTGCAAAAGTCGGTCTCTTTTTGAGAAATTAAGACATCCAAAAATGGACAAGACATTATTATATAATACGAGTTTCAGGTGAACAGTTCAGTTAATTTTAACTCCACTCATAATTATTATTTCTATATTTTATTCTAGTTTAATGCCGGGATGTTTTATGTTGAACTGTAGCACTCCAATAATCTAATCAACACGCTGGCCCCGCCTGTTATCATGTGCAAGATATTGTTACATCTCTAATTATTATTTCTATTATTATTACCTGTTATTCTGCAATATCTCTTCGAAAAGCAGTAAAAATGACGGCCAATAAATAAATATACAGCTCTACCTCTACCTGCTTTTACTTGAACTAAACGGAGTTCTAATTTATGTTCTTTATTAGGTAAAATTGTTTCGCATGTGTGACCGAGTATTGTAGTCACAAGCATCGCATGATTATAATTACCTGCGTTTAATTTCTATAATATCAGAGGTTTCAATTTCAAACCTGTTTATTTTATCGGCGATGGCACCTCTACTTAACTATCTCCAACTTAAGTTGAAGCCTGCACAAGGCTCTAATAAAGTAATAACACTTTTTCCGAACTCAGGGGAAAATTAAAAAGTAAAATAGAAATATACAAGCTCGCTGGAGCGGATAGTAGCTATATTACAGGATACAAACTCGGGTGTTTGTACATTCTGTACATTCCATAACCTGGTCTTATTAATTTGCTAATAGTGTACAATGTATACCACGTGTGTATGTCACGTGGCCGTGTGTACAGTGTACATTGTCAAGCTGTACTCCTGCACACTCGGTACATTAGTGTGACAAGCAGTGTAATAGCGTATTAGAGACAGCTAGTACATTACAGTGACAAGTAAAGTAATAATGTGCTCTGCAAGGTCTTCGTTTTATTACTTACATGTGCATGATGTTATCGTTATTATTGATTAAGATTAACGTTTAACATTGTTATAATATGTACACAACTTTCTCCACGTTACGTATGATCCGAGAATTGTGAAATTTAACATTCGAGACATTATATTTTACGGCTCTCACTAAACAGTATTTAACAGTCGCAACCATTTAACTTCTGGTGGATATTCTTAAAGTCATCATTTTATTTAAGATTGCAGAGTATTATTATATTATGTAATAATATGGAATAATATGTGCAATGATTTGACAGCCTTTCAAGAAGATGTTCTCAGGAAATGTCACGACCATGATACCAGGAGCATGACCAGTAGGAAAATGATAAGTAGTTAGATGCATTAGAACATTAAATGAACATGGTGAGATTGACGTCTCATAATCATGATCTTTCAAGCATGATTTCGTGGCCTTTACGACATGGTGCGATTAGCTAGTCGTTGGCAGTTATTAAGCTTTTAAAGACTGACATCTTCAGACTCAATCATACATTCTAGCATGAAATTTGACGTTTAAAGATGTATTCTTACAGTATCTTAGTACTTTAGTATGGTATCATAATTATATAATGAAGATAATATCTACACAAGATGCAATCATAAACTTGACATAATATCTAACTCTTGCAATAATAGCTTACTCATAATTACTCAAGCGATCTAACAGAACCCCTCCCACTCTAACCCCCTCCCACTCTAACAGAACCCCTCCCACTCTAACCCCCCCTCTCCCACTCTAACAGTACCCCCTCCCACTCAGATATCAGACAGATTGACGCAGCTAAAGAACGCCCCCACCCTAGAAGACTGCACACCAGAGGAAGCAAAGCTCATGTCTTGTTGTGACCCTGTGGTACTGGAACAGGCTCGAAAGAACCACAGGAATGCGGTTACCTCCCTCTCCGATAACACGGTTAGTTAGGTGACTGCAGGGGTTGGAGGGGAGGGGGGGTGACTAGTGTGCACTGTGCAGCTCAAGCTGCTGAAGCTGTATTTTGAATGCTTCTGCTAAACAAACCCCCTCCTAGTGTGTAGTGTGCACCTTACCCTAACTGTGTAGCACCTTACCAGGTAACTGTTTAGCATTGCATGCTCGACCTGTTCAGTGTTGGATTTGTTGTTGGGGTTGTTCACATCATTGAAATTGGTTCTTGTCAATAAATCAGAGCGTACTGTTGATTTAGTTTGAGGGTGAAAGAGGTGTAAGGAACTACACCTTTTGTAAGGAACTACACCTTTTGTAAGGAACTACACCTTTTGTAAGGAACTACACCTTTTGTAAGGAACTACACCTTTTGAAAGAGGTGTAAGGAACTAAACGTCTTCTAAAACAGCAGAGTATAAGTTGTACGGATATATTATAACAGAATATCTACAATAAAGGTAGCTAGTTGCTCCCATTATTGTGGGTTATTGGATCGAATATTCAATAGGGAGCTGCATTATGTCATCGTTACTATGCGTTATTGGCTGGGGTAGCCCTTATATCATCATTTGGTTGGTGTCTACAGCCTATAGTCTATTATAGTCTATACTCTATAGGTGTGATAATCTTATTATCATGACTCCTATCATCTTTTGCACGAGTAAAAAATTACTTTTTACTCTTAAATTGGGTCATGGAATAAAATCAGTCCTGCAAAACAATCCATAATATCATAGCTTAATAGCGACAAATCGAGAAAATAAACGAGGGAAACGAAACAATTTTGCATAGTTTACAATATAGAGTTACATACAACAAAAATTTGGAAAAGAACCACGAGTAATATAAATCTTCTTCGTCGGTGGCTCAGCAGTTGAAACCGTTAGCAGTCCAATAAACATCACACCTATCTTTAGTCATCTGCCCTGCTGTCGCCCCTTCAACAGTCTGAACAACAAACCTAGTCTCTTTACTCAGCTCTATAAACACAGACGGACAACCCCTCGTGTAGTACCCCTTCAGTACAGCAGTAACCACTGGAGCTGAAACAAACCCACAGCCAGTAATGTTGTTTCTTTTGTAAGCCTGACCATGGTAGCCCCTCCATTCGTAGTCTCCAGTATCGCTGTATTTGGAGATTCCGGAGCATGTTAAAGCGCAGGGTGGTGGGTGGGGTTTACCGTCGGGAGTATTCAGGATCTTTACTTCTAGTGGCAGAGTTGGTGTAGTCAGCATCAGTGAAAACAGGCAGCTGAGGAGCCTCATTTTAGTAAGAGTTAGCAATGGTACTATATATAGCAGACTGCTTCATAAACTCACAAAGAAATGTTTATTTTATCTGTGCAAGGAGTTTTAAATAATGGGGTAATGAATCCTAGACAGTGTCAAGTAGACAGTGTAATTGACAGGTGGTTGTTTAATTTAAGGGTGAAGTTAGAGGACGGTTAAAATAATTAAAATAAGGAATATATGTCTTTGACAAGGTGTTGTACCAGCTGCGGAGTGCGGGTAAGTGGGGAATTTGTTTACAATTTCACAATATCTAACTATCTTCACAGACAGTGAGACAGTGAGATTAAATTTGATCTTAATTCTGAGCGTATCTCGTACTGTATGAGATTTTTGCACCAAAGCCAATTCTAGAGGTATACCCACGAAGGATAACAGTATATTATACGGATTAACGAAGCACCTATTTATATTTCTTGTGCAACGATTTCGATTGGTACATGCGTTAAGATCCTAGCTAAGCATTTGTCATTTAATCACCGGTTTTCAACACCAGGTTACCACTGTTCTTCTGTAGAGACTTATTTAGTTGAGGACATTTTTAGTTTCTGGAAAACATCAAATTAGAAGTCATTATTGTATTTAACAGATACAAAAGCCATGGAGAATTCTTCTATTTGATCTTGGCCAGATAACCACATTATACATAATACATTAATAAAGTATAATGTATATTGTACATTATATGATTATACATGAAAACTGGTGAATAAGAACTTAATGAATTAATCCACATTTATTTAGAAATATATTTTGGTAATCAAGAAGCTTTAATGGGATCATTTTCATCGTTTTTCAGAGTGTTGGGTACAAAAGAGACGACAGGTTCAAGTACGATCTAATCTCATCAGCTCTGGATCTCGATCTGAAGTTCTCTCCTCTAACTTACAAGATAAGACAGCTGGACTCTTGAAACTAGCCGCTTTGTCACTAGCCGCTTTGTCACTAGCCGCTTTGTCACTAGCCGCTTTGTCGCTAGCCACTTTGTCACCTTTGTTTCAGATTTTCAGCTCTTGTAAAGGTATTTTTATTGTACATAATCATACGTTTTTATCTAAGATATTTATTGGTTTATCAAAGAATTATTATATGACAGCATTTTTGAGCATTTTTCTGGCTTTCAGTATCGATATTTATCGCTCATTTCTATTTTTATATTGGCACAGTTTCGATGCACAATTGTAAAAATTATGCTATTATTATATGGGGTGGTAATTTGAATGATTTGATGAGTTTATAAATTGACTGACTTAACGTTATTCCATTATTTCAATTATTGAATTAGTTGTGGATTACCACTTCTGAGTTACTAATTAATATGCCAATTATTGGTGTTTTCACAGTTGGTATGTCTTGACACGTCAGTTTTATACATTTTATATAGCTGTAGGGTTTGCAGTGCAGAAAAATGTATCGTAGTTGGGGCGGTAATTCGGGCATTAACAGATGTCACAATTATGTACCTAATAAAGTCATAAAGTATTACGAATTGTATTTATTCATTTTATTGCATAATATTGCATTATAAAATTTAACACATCATGTATTGTATAAATTTATAAGACTTTCACAGAATTCAAAGTCTGCTTTATTTGAATATTAAGAGCATGACATTTTTACAGTTCAAAATAGTGTGTGGAGGTGTGATAAAAAACGTGTGAACAGTGAAGTGGTCAGTTTGAGCTTAAAAAAGCGGCGGAATGTCCAAAATATGTGAGTATATGAAAATATGTGAGTATAGGAGGTGCGTGGAATTATTCTAATTATAGCCATCAAGGTATAAAATATCTGCTGTTAGTGGCCGTGCGTGTGGAACTTAACATTGTTGAGCAATTTATAAGATCTCGTCTGATCAAGTTTTGTATTTTAGTTTCTGATAAAGTCGGAAAAGTCTGACCTAGTCATGTTATTAAGCAATCTTAAGCTCCGTCAAACCCAATATGATGGGCGTTCATTGAAATTGACTGCTGCTAGACAGAATGTCAATACAAGACGCGACGTTATCAGCGAAAAACTCTATAAATACATTAAATTTCAAACTATAGTGCAATTGAGTCATATTTTATCAAGATATTTGTTAATGACCAACTGTTTGGTTTGTAGGAAGATATGGAATAAGCTGTCTTATCTGATCTCTGTTATCTGATCTCTGTTATCTTTGAGTCACGTGATGCTAGCTCCACTCTTTACACTAAAGCTAAAACAGAAGATCCTCCCACGGAGAGTTACACTAGGAAAATTTGATGGTGTAAATCCTAACTTAGCATGTGCTACCTCTGCCGGAAAGGTACAGTAATTGACAGTAATCGCTCTATTAATTAATAGTTTATTTAAATATTTATCACACTATTAGTTAAATTGGAATTATGAAATCATGAAATGTTAGAGATGTGGCACCATGACAACATATTATACAACATAATAACAACAATAACAACTATTTTAGGTGTTTATCCACAACCCGTTCAGTGGGTCCCAGATGAGCGAGGGAAAGAGCAGCAGACTAGTTACCTCTGACAACCTTGTACCTGATCTTTACTATCTCAACATTGGGCAACAGGTATTACTATTATTTGTAGTATTAGTACTAAGTGGCTTAGCGGTGCAGTTCGTTAGTCGACCTGCCTTACTCGTGATATGCTGCTCAATCACGAGGTTGCGGGTTCGATCTACGCCTGTGCCACTAGCCATGGGGTGAGCGGCGTTGCCGTTCTGCTAAGGGTTCCGATGGACCAATGCAGCCCCCCGGTCTACTCAGCCGAATTCTCGAGAAATCGTGTGTGTGAGGGTTAAATGAGGAGCTGTACATGATCTATACAGCGGAGCCACGGGCGAATAAAGTGTGGTATAATACCTTAACCGTCGCTGGCCTTAGTTATCGATCCTTCGGGTTCCTGTAAGTGCTGGTGCCGGCCATGGTTGTCCGAAGTAAAAGAAAAAGGGTGGTTTTCATAGATGACCCCTTGCAGCTAAACAACGTAAAGTAAAGTAAAGCAGTAGTAGTATAGTAGTAGTACTACAGGTACTAACAACTCACACATTCGTTGTGATCACAGTATGATAAAAAATAACACCTCTATATAACACCTTTATAATTTACACCTTAATATAACACTGTTATAACACCTTCACTCTCTCCCGCAGATCTCTGCGATGGGTGCGGGATGCCTGGGTGCTGATGACAAGGATACCCTGTTCGTCGGATCACAGACTCACTTCCTGGCCTACGACGTTCACAACAACTCCGACCTCTTTTACAGGTATAACAATCTTCAGTATGACGCAATAAAACACAAGGAAATCTCTTTCTTTCTTTCTTTAGTCACATGTATGTAAGTTGTGGCTATGATTAATATTGCATATTTTACTATGATGTCATGGCTGTTAGGTAGTTGGATGTCTAGAAAAGAAGGGTGTTGATCTTGAAATAAATTGCTTATGTCTACATCCTTACATCTACAGCTAAAGTTCTTCAGCTCAGAGCTCAAATGCAGCCCCTAATGCAGCCCCTGAATATGTTGTGGCATTTCAGTACCGGGGTCTGTACAATAAAGGAGACCCGCCACCACCCTATTTTAACATCTGACATCCAATACTTATACAGCATAATCGATTATATGAGGGTACCAAAATAACTTTGTAGCTGCCTGTTATTGTTATAATAGGGGGAGAGTTCCTGCAAATTTAACATTTTATAGGTTTAAGTGACCTGGGTTCTTTGTCGAGGATGTTTGGAATAATTCGGTGATTGTGTCACGTGATGATATAGCTGGTTCCATTAGTGTAGGTCAGTTAGTGAGCATTATTATATACTTACTACTCGGGACCCCCGGAGCTGTGCGGTTTCAAATGGTCTGGAATCCTGGATTGAAACATAATAAATCTTCTGGTATTATAGGGCATGGTATACTGAATTTTTATTTTGTAAATGACTTTTCTGAAAGGCACATAAAATAACTGCAACAAAAAGTGTTATTTGCACCATTACTACTTTTTTTGTGTTCAGGGAACAGGCTTGCCACATAGGTCCGGTAGTTCTGAACGTTTAGGCAGGGTGCTAGGTTGTGGTACACTCTCAACTAGGTAGTCTGCGAGTCCAAAATCTCAAAAAAAGTCACCAATATTATTACAGAGAGTGTCCGGACGGGGTGAACACGATAGCTCACGGCTACATTGCTGATTGTGATGTTCCACTGGTGTTCACTGGTGGTAACTGCTCTATTTCTGGTAGGTGGAGGGTATGAGGATTATTTTATATGCTTGCTGTTCTTATGCAACAATGTATCAAATAACAATATGAATATTATGTGATTATTCAAATATAATAATAATTAGAAATTACAGGATTATTTAAAAGTATGTTAAAATCTGCCCAGTTCTTCATCTTGATCCAGAACAACTATAATTTACAACTAACTGTAATATAACTACTATATTTCTAACATTGTCTCGTTGTCCAGGCTTCTCAGAAGACGGAGATGACAAGTTCTGGACAGTAACGGGGGATAACGTGTGCTCTCTGGCTCTTCTCGACTACAACCAGGACAACATCAACGAGCTGGTGGTGGGTTCTGAGGACTACGAGATAAGGGTCTTCCACTCTGATGAGATGATAGCTGAGATCACTGAGACCGAGAGTGTCACGTGTCTAGCTGCTATGAACGGCAGCAAGTTCGGGTAAGTTTACTGTGGATACAATGAGATAGCAGATTATACTTTCAGTCACGGAGCTGTCGCTAGAGTTTGGAAATTCTGGATGGGTTCTGGATTTGTCGTGGAATACCAGGCATTTTACTAGTTCCATCCATAATATTTTGCATTGTGCGTGTTGGTATTGGTACACGTTTAATAACCAGAGATATATCTCGTCACGCCACATTCCTTACCTGACCTACAACAGGTACGCTCTAGCTAACGGTACAGTGGGAGTGTACGACCGTAACTCACGCTTCTGGAGGATCAAGTCCAAGAACCAGGCGGTGTCCATCTTCTCGTATGATCTGAACGGAGACGGAGTACCGGAGCTGATCACGGGGTGGAGTAGTGGTAAACTTGATGCCAGGAGTAGCCATAACGGAGAGGTATGTGCTGGTCACGTGGGCAAAACTTGTTCGTGTTGGTCACGTGGGCTGGTCACCTGGGCTAAACTTGTTCGTGCTGGTCACGTGGGCTAAACTTGTTCGTGGTGGTTTAATAGTTTGGCGATAGAACAATACCTTAAAACAGACTGGTACCTTAAATTTTTAAAACTAGGTAATTTGAACATCGATTGGACGCCTTCAGACTCAGAAAAAAAATTATTTAGTGGAATTGTAAAAATGGTAATGGTTAGTTAAATATTATCTTCTAATTATCTTCAGCAAGTTGCACCATCTTTCTACCCTCACCCCCGCTTTGAAATAGCTAAAGGTTTCCTCCCCCAGGTAGTGTTTAAAGATAACTTTGGTTCAGCAGTGGCTGGCATCGTAGAGGGCGACTACAGGCGGGACGGGACTAAACAGCTCATTACCTGTAGTGTGGATGGGGAGGTGAGTACTAGTCACGTGTTGTCACGTGTTGTCACGTGCGTGTCACGTGTGGCTCAGTGCCAACCATATATCGTGGCTGGACATCTGGTTGGCCGTCTGATTATTTTTAGATTTCAGATTGAAGTTGGTGGTATATTCTACCATCTGAGGTGTTATGACCTCAAATTATGTTTTTGTGGTTTTAAGAGAAACCTATTTGACTAATAATAGTACCATTATCACATACACGGTCAAACGAAAGAACAACATTCACTATTCAGTCATGTGGCTATGTGGCGGTTGAATATATCAATAATTTCGTTATCATTTTCTCATGACCAGTTCAGTCATGACGTCATAACACTTCTATCTCAAGGTTCGAGGTTACTCTCCCGCCAACAAGGATTCGTCCCACAACCTGATGGATAATGATGCAGAACAAGACCTGGTCAGAGAACTAGCGCAGAGGAAGAACAACTTGCTCCTAGAACTTAAGAACTACAGTGAGAACACCAAAGCAGGAAAGGAGGTCAGTTCATAATTTTAGCTTTATAATGTGTAACGAAAGTTGTGTTGTGGCCCAATTGTAATCCGTAGATTACCATAACCAATCATCCAGTTAATCAATGTTTATTACGATTTAAGTTAATGAATATTTATTATGATTTTTAAAACAATATAATATTTAGTTTTTGAGTTGGGTGTTAACTTCGTTCACCTGATCAGTGATCTTCCCTCACTTCTACCCCATCACACAGGTTGGAGGTTTGAAACTGAGCGCTACAACCGACGTAGACGGCCAACACATGGGCATTATCCCAGCTAACACCCAACTACAGACTTCCTTACAAGTCACCACGGAAACGGACAGCATGCCCTCCCACGTGCAACTTCTTATCAATACCACTAACACCACCGTTATCAAGGTACGTGCACGTGCAACTTCTTATCAATACCACTAACACCACCGTTATCAAGGTACGTGCACGTGCAACTTCTTATCAATACCACTAACACCACCGTTATCAAGGTACGTGCACGTGCAACTTCTTATCAATACCACTAACACCACCGTTATCAAGGTACGTGCACGTGCAACTTCTTATCAATACCACTAACACCACCGTTATCAAGGTACGTGCACGTGCAACTTCTTATCAATACAACTAACACCACCGTTATCAAGGTACGTGCACGTGCAACTTCTTATCAATACCACTAACACCACCGTTATCAAGGTACGTGCACGTGCAACTTCTTATCAATACCACTAACACCACCGTTATCAAGGTACGTGCACGTGCAACTTCTTATTAATACCACTAACACCACCGTTATCAAGGTACGTGCACGTGCAACTTCTTATCAATACCACTAACACCACCGTTATCAAGGTACGTGCACGTGCAACTTCTTATCAATACCACTAACACCACCGTTATCAAGGTACGTGCACGTGCAACTTCTTATCAATACCACTAACACCACCGTTATCAAGGTACGTGCACGTGCAACTTCTTATCAATACCACTAACACCACCGTTATCAAGGTACGTGCACGTGCAACTTCTTATCAATACCACTAACACCACCGTTATCAAGGTACGTGCACGTGCAACTTCTTATCAATACAACTAACGCCACCGAACCAGCAAGTATTTAAATTTTAAACATTGCGCGCGAGCTACTGATAAGTTATACAGTAAAACCCCGATTTACCGCAAACCCCGATTTACCGCGCCTATTTCTTTCTCCCGAACTCCGCGGTAAATCGGGGTTTAACTGTACCATAGATTTAATTTTTCGTGCAGTTCAATTATTTAACTTTAAGATCAACATTAAGGTAAATAGGAAGAAGCCGGTTAAGCGTATGTGCTATAACTATAAAAACGTGAACTGGGAGAGGTTAAACCATGAACTCCGGCACACAGACTGGAATGTATTGCTTAATGGCACAGAACCTGAAATTGGGTGGAAAAAATTTAAAGAAAAACTTTTTAATATCACTGACAAATTCATCAAGAAATGCTCAGTTAAGACAGATGGACAAGATCCATGGTTTGACTCAGAGTGCTATGATGCATGGCGCAAGAAAATAAGACTGCATAAAGATAGACATAAAAGCGATAGAGCCCAAATAGCATTCTCCCTTGCCAGGAAAAACTTCAAAAATGTGGTTGCTCAAAAAATGCGAGAAACATTAAATGAATCAGATGATAGCGCTCTTGTAACAAAAAAATTCTGGTCATATGTAAAATCAAAAACAGCTAGTCAAAGAATTCCTGAGTTTGTAAGCTACAAAGGCATTGTCCGCAACTGCCCAGAGGACCAGGCCAACTTATTTAATGGCTTTTTCTTTGAGCAGTTCTCTGAAGCATCATTATACGACATAGATATTGATTATTCAAACGATTGGCGCTTTGATATTGCATTTGACCACCAAAGGGTTCGAAAAATCCTTTCCAATATTAACCCTAACAAAGCTTATGGGCCTGACGGTATTCATGGGAAACTTTTGAAAAACTGTGCTGTTGGGCTTGCATACCCATTATCACTATTATTTCATTCATGTTACAACATTGGGACATTACCTAGGGAGTGGAAACTGGGACACGTTGTACCCATATATAAAAAAGGTGATAAACACGAGGTTTCAAATTATAGGCCAATATCCCTTACATGCTTAATCACCAAAGTTCTTGAACGCATAATTAAAGATGAGTTACTTGCACTTACTAACGGCATGATCAACGATAAACAACACGGTTTTCGAGCTGAAAGATCATGTGCAACTAATCTTGTAGGTCTATGTGACCTGAGCCTAGCTCTCTCACTGAATGAAAATATGAGAACAGATGTAGTCTACTTTGATTTTGCCAAAGCTTTCGACTCAGTTAACCATGATCTTATATTATTTAAGCTAAAGAGCAAATTTGGTATTGATGGGAGGCTACTGAAATTCATCACTGATTATCTAAGAGACAGGCAACAACAGGTCTTGATAAGTGGTAAGTTTTCTTCCATGAGAAACGCCCAATCTGGTGTACCACAAGGGTCAATTTTGGGACCTTTGTTGTTCATTATGTTCATTGATGATATATCAGTGGGGATTTCACCTGGCACACAACTGTCACTGTATGCCGATGATACTAAAATTTGGCGTGAGATTGTTTCGGAGTCTGATATCCTGCGACTGCAGAAGGACATTGATTATCTCCATGACTGGTCACTTTCTAATAAAATGAGATTTCATCCCGACAAATGTAAGGTCCTCACCGTCGCAGGAAGGATATCCGAAACAGTTTCCCTCCTTAGTGTCCTACCACTCTTTAACTTTGTATACTCCATGGGAAGAATCGCACTTGACTATGTCGATCATGAAAAGGATTTGGGTGTTTTTGTGACCAAGAATCTCGACTGGCAAGACCAGCGCTCTAAAGTCCTCTCAAAGGCCAACCAAAAATTAGGCATGGCAAGGAGAAATTGCTATTTTGTTCAAGATGTAAATCGTCGTAGAGTACTGTATCTCACTTTAATGAGAAGTCAATTTGAGCATTGCTCAGTTATATGGAGACCGGTCACAAAATCCCAGATAAGCAAGCTGGAGGGCCTCCAAAAGCGTGCTATTAAGTGGATTCTTCGCGAGGAGTATATGAGTTATCCACCATCCACATACATTCAGAAATGCAGACAGCTTAAGATTATGCCCATAGAAGACCGCTTCGACTTTCTTGACCTTATTTTCTTCTTTAAAATTGTGAAGCAACATATTCCTGTCACTTTACCCTCATATTTGCAACCATATCAAGGCCACTCAAGGTTAAGAAATAGCCACATGGACCCCTTATGTTTTGTAAGCTCGATCTTACCACGAGCAAGCTCTAACGCTTTTGCTAAGAACTTTTACTTTAGGACCCATTCCAAATGGAATCATATTCCTCTAGATATACGTGAGATAGAGACTATTTCTGAGTTCAAAAGCAAATTGACCTCCTACATGTGGGATAAAATTATGCCGGAGGACTTTGATTATGATCTAGATTTTTCCCTCGAGACAGAGATGTGAAGCAGTTTACCTAAAGCTAACAATATGTTCATAAGGAGCTTAAATCCCTGTTGTCTGTATTTCTCATTTCTCATTTTAGTGCATGTCATCACATCATGGATTTCACTTTATTATATGATTTGATTGCTTTTGATATTTTTGTGTGTTTCTATTTGAAATTCTATTTAAAATTTAAGATTTTCGTGGGCCCATACTTGTGCAGGAGGTGCATTTTGCTCTCAACATCTGTGTTTTGGTGACCCTCAGGTCCTTTGATTACATACATTTTGTCCTAGAAAATCTGATTTTATCGGAGTCTTATACTTTTGAGAAAATTTAATGTTGTTCATTCATTGTGTAAATTTGTATGTAATTGATCGATTTGAAAGATTTCAATAAAAAAAAAAACCTGTTCCTACAGCTGATGTTAATAATTTCATGATTTACAGGTAATTGTGTGATCAGCAACTACTTCACTTTGCTCGTTTTTATAATATGTGCATTATTATTCCATTTTAAGATCACGTTTAGCCACTTTTGAATGTTTTCAGAATTAAATTCGATGGCAAAGGCTTCCTCTGAACTTAACCAGTTGACCAAAATAATTATAGTGAAACCCCGATTCGCACTACAGTTTGGAGGAAAGAGAAATAGTACACTAAAACGGGTCGTACTGTAGGTCTGGGTTTACCCGGACAGATCACAACCTTTCCTCTGCAAAGTACTGGTTTCCAACTAGGGGTTATGGTTTAGAAGCACTCAAGCCGATAGGGGAATTAAGGAGTTCGACCCATTTTTGAGACGTATTTCATAGGATCACGTAATCGGGGTTTACGGTAAGCGAGGTTTTACTGTAAATTGTCCAACTCGTCAAAATTCTGTAAGACTTCCACCCAGTAAACGACCGGGGGTAGGATTTGGCCGGGGCCGGGGCCGGGGCCGGGAATGTCCAAATTTTGCCGGGCCGGGAATTGGCCGTTCTGGAATTTGGCCGGGGCCGGGGCCGTGAATTTAATAAATCCACGGCCAAGTTAGAACTTTTCAGGACTTAGGATCTGAACTTATTTTTACATGACAATATAATGTTCGTTTTTAATGTAATTTTAAGACTTATATGAAAGTTTTAGGCCGATTTCGATCAAAAATTCCCGGCCAAATTCCCGGCAAAAATTGAAAATCGGCCGGGGCCGGGGCCGGGAAGAAATAGCTCCCCCGGTGCCGGGATTTCACGGCGCCGGGAATCCCGGTCGATTACTGCTTCCACCATGTTTTATCCTTATATTACGCAATCATATGGAAGTAGTAAATGGTTGAGGCAAGAAATTGGTAAACTTTATAATGTATAGAGTTTGAAACGGTACAAAGAAAACAACCAAAAATAAGCTATTAAACATCTACAAGAATAATTCGTTAAATTTCTCAATTAAAAATATCACTCAATATATAGCTACCCTAGTTACCCTCTAACCATTTTGGAAATGACCTTCCCCCAAACTACGCGGTAAATCGGGGTTTTACTGTACTAAATATCCAAACCGCGGTGTACTGTGTACCTGATGGTAATTTGGTTGTGTAACTGATGTATATGAATTTATTTCTTAATATCACTCTACATTGAAGAACTAAGTTATCGTTAACAGCTGTATTTGTTGATCTGACGGCCAATACCTCAAAGACCGCGCAACACAATTACCCGTGAGCGCTAACCTTTGACCAGCAATGTTTTTCGATGTGATCAAAAGCAGCTGATAGATATCACTCCCTTCTATTAGAAATAACTAAAAAGTTGATTTCGAGAAAATTTTCATGAAGCCCCCTTAACTAGCTGTTAACTATTTTAGTATGTATTTTAAAGTAATCTATAAATACATATTTCAGACAGTAACATATCCATATATTTCAGGCAGTAATGATATTTGCCGAAGGGATATTTAACGGAGAGAGTCACGTGGTACACCCACCTTCCAGTGGAATCACCTCCGCTCTCAGTGTCCCTATATTCCCGCCTAAAGACGTCCCCATTGACTTACATGTCAAGACTTTCGTCGGGTAAGTTGGTTTGATTTTCGGCTAATGGTGGGTCTTTTTATTATGATGGAGAGAATGGGCACTTACTTGGGAATCACTTAAAAGTTAATGAATCGTCAACTTCTTCAAATCGTAATGTGAGTCTACCCGGATCAATGAGCATGCTCTAATGGGGATGAAAACGAATTGTCACGAACTTGTGGTCATACGACATTTAACTTCTATATTTAACGCTACTTTGAGTTTCATTATTGGATCTTATCTTGAGCACTTAGCACTTCAAGTGCTAAAAGGGTTCGCCTAAAACCATTTTGATGCCCTAACCTCACCCACGTGACACTACTTATATATCTACCATTAGCTAAGTGAATCTGATGACACTCAGCAGTCACGAACCTCGACATTGTGTCTGTCAACGTGCTGACAGATGTAATAACTACAAAACTCTCTTGTAGGAGTTACAGATATTTTTAATTGCTCAGTACCCATTAGCTAATACTACACGCCTAGAGAAAAGATAAAAGATCCCAAGATACCTCAGTTCCTACTCCCAAGTCTGACCCAACCCCACCTCCCTCAGTCACAAGAACAGTTCACAGTACCACGTGTTCTGACCCACCTCCTTCAGGCACAAGAACAGTTCACAGTACCACGTGTTCTGACCCACCTCCCTCAGGCACAAGAACAGTTCACAGTACCACGTGTTCTGACCCACCTCCCTCAGGCACAAGAACAGTTCACAGTACCACGTGTTCTGACCCACCTCCTTCAGGCACAAGAACAGTTCACAGTACCACGTGTTCTGACCCACCTCCCTCAGGCACAAGAACAGTTCACAGTACCACGTGTTCTGACTCACCTCCCTCAGGCACAAGAACAGTTCACAGTACCACGTGTTCTGACCCACCTCCCTCAGGCACAAGAACAGTTCACAGTACCACGTGTTCTGACCCACCTCCCTCAGGCACAAGAACAGTTCACAGTACCACGTGTTCTGACCCACCTCCCTCAGGCACAAGAACAGTTCACAGTACCACGTGTTCTGACCCACCTCCCTCAGGCACAAGAACAGTTCACAGTACCACGTGTTCTGACCCACCTCCCTCAGGCACAAGAACAGTTCACAGTACCACGTGTTCTGACCCACCTCCCTCAGGCACAAGAACAGTTCACAGTACCACGTGTTCTGACCCACCTCCCTCAGTAACAAGAACAGTTCACAGTACCACGTGTTCTGACTCACCTCCCTCAGGCACAAGAACAGTTCACAGTACCACGTGTTCTGACCCACCTCCCTCAGGCACAAGAACAGTTCACAGTACCACGTGTTCTGACCCACCTCCCTCAGGCACAAGAACAGTTCACAGTACCACGTGTTCTGACCCACCTCCCTCAGGCACAAGAACAGTTCACAGTACCACGTGTTCTGACCCACCTCCCTCAGGCACAAGAACAGTTCACAGTACCACGTGTTCTGACCCACCTCCCTCAGTAACAAGAACAGTTCACAGTACCACGTGTTCTGACTCACCTCCCTCAGGCACAAGAACAGTTCACAGTACCACGTGTTCTGACCCACCTCCCTCAGGCACAAGAACAGTTCACAGTACCACGTGTTCTGACCCACCTCCCTCAGGCACAAGAACAGTTCACAGTACCACGTGTTCTGACCCACCTCCCTCAGGCACAAGAACAGTTCACAGTACCACGTGTTCTGACCCACCTCCCTCAGGCACAAGAACAGTTCACAGTACCACGTGTTCTGACTCACCTCCCTCAGGCACAAGAACAGTTCACAGTACCACGTGTTTGAGCTATCCCGCCAGCTCCCTCAGGCACAAGAACAGTTCACAGTACCACGTGTTCTGACTCACCTCCCTCAGGCACAAGAACAGTTCACAGTACCACGTGTTCTGACTCACCTCCCTCAGGCACAAGAACAGTTCACAGTACCACGTGTTCTGACTCACCTCCCTCAGGCACAAGAACAGTTCACAGTACCACGTGTTTGAGCTATCCCGCCAGCTCCCTCGCTTTACCCTCTACATCCAGGCTCCCACTAACACCGCTAAGCCCAAATCTTTTGTCTCCTTCCCGGTCAACGAGCGGATAAACCGGGTGGTGATGTGGATTAATCAGAACTTCCTGCTGGACGAGGAGGTTTGCGCAGTGAGTTCGTAGCACTGCACTGCACGAGAGTGTTGTGTGCATGTGTGTTTTGTGTGTTGCGCGCGATTATTTGCACGTGCATTTAAACCGTCCTGTGACCACACGAAATATTCAAAAAATGGCAGCAAAAATAGTTGTATTCAAAGCAGAGCAATAATTAATATCACCAACTAGAAATATGACTGTCAAGCGTACTTTATTTCAAGTTTCATCCCACCTCCCATCTCAATAGACTTAATAATAATGTTTTCAATTGTCAGTATCATACAAACGTGTGATTAAACAGCTGTATTTTACAAAATATCTTAACTAAATACCTCAGATTTCTGCTGACACGGAACTTGATCTAAAACTGATGGCGCTGAGAACTGGATGTCCAATATTCCTCCACATGGTTCCAGGTTAATAGTTTAGTTATGCAATTTAGATAATGCGCACTTTTCGTGTCTGGAAGCATTTTGAGAGACACTGGAAGTATTTTGAGAGACAAATTAAGTTGGCAGCAGGAATATTTATTTTACTTTCCCCGATTTAATGTCCAATTATTGTAAAAGTTGTGCTAATACTTTAATACGAACTTTAATATAAACTTTTAAATTCATACGCAGTTTATGAATTCTGATTTTTAGTTGACAGCTACAGAACTACACTCCGCAGTTGCTAGTCACGGGAGTTACATTGTGTTTTGCCTGTTACTTGACTTAATGATATAATGTGTGAAGTGGTGGTTAAAAAACGCTCCACTGAGACAAGATTAAACTATTTATGATTTTACCGCCACCTCATTTAAGCTTTTAAGATCGCTAATACGAATTAACTCGGATCCGCTCAGGTACAATAACGATACACTGTGAGGATATTGACTTGGTTGGGGATATAGTACAGGCTCTAGCTGCCTCTCTTAATATTGAGAACATGACATCCACCGCCAACTTCCCCGACTTTATTGAGAAGCTTAAAGAGGTGCTTTATATAATATTTACCTGTTTCCCCGTTTACAGTTAATAGCTTAACCATGAAATCTGTGCCATAATGTCTCAGTTATTACCAACACGCCATTTTATAAATCTCTCATATTCCACAACCTAGAGCTTGTTGCTAATCCCATCTTACATCAGGTACTGGTTAAAGTTGACGAGTATCACAACGTCCGACAGAAGCTTACAGCAGAGATGGCAGACCACAGCAATCTGATCCGGAGTCTGGTGGTACGTGCGGAGGACGCGCGCCTCATGAACGACATGAACAGTATGAAACAGAGTTATCTCAAGTTATACGATCTTAACAGGTTAGAGTTTAATTCGTTGACGATTTCAGTTGAGTCTATCTGGAGACAATATTATGTAATTTTAAAATCGGACAGTCGAACTGTTAAAGATGGGGTTAAAGATGCAATAGACCACCGGATATAGTGTTAAAGATATGAAAGCACCTGAAAATGCTAGAAAATTAACCCAGTAATCCTGTCTCCGCTGAAGGACAACGCACTAGGGTCTAGACTGTGTAGTGTTGACACATTATTTTGTCATATTATCCTAAATCAAGATACTGTTGTTCATTAGTAGCGGATTAATGGTATTGATGGTCACTTACCCTGGGCACATTATTTCGGGGTACAACTGCATATCCTACCAACGTCTTAACTGATTCTATATTGTATATCTGAGGCTGCTCTTGTAAAGGGGGTTAATTGGTATTTATTTGTAGAATGTCCTTTAAAAAGTAAAATAGGTTGGAAATAACTCTCTGGAGCACTTAAAACAACACATCACATTCCTGGGTAGAGATCAGTACTTTGGTAATGGATGTAAAGTGGATATGGACATCACGTCGCCATGACAATACTTAGCTGTTAAAATATCATCTGAACTTAAAATACTGCAATCCTCGATTACTATTTATAATCTTAATAAAGCTTTTACCTATCCTCATGACACAGAACTGTTGTGAGAGAATCCCTTGGTATTTATTTGTGCAATTAATCGAATAAAAGCTCCACTCTGGCCCATCTCCCCGTGGTAGATTTGTTGTTTTTATTGAACCAGAGAAAGGAAGGATCTATTAATAAGCATCTCGCCATGCTCTCGTAGGTCCCTGAGATCTGCCTTTATAATAACTTTAAAATGCGATCTTGTCACTCGGCGAGCTCTTTTTATGTCGCATTGTCTTCCTGAAGAGAAGCGTTCCCTATTTTAGTATAATAAGTGCTCGAATCTCGTAACAATGGAAACCGCACCTGTATCACTCCAATACTATGGCCACCAATCACGATCAACGATCTTGTCACGTGCTATTTGGTGACCAATCAGGGACGGTACTATTAGTCAAGGAACACAGTCCGCGGTGCTGTCCCATTGGGCAGCTAGAGTATCATCAATATGAGAATCGGAGCCTTCTCTTTAGATGCAGAAGTTTGGGTCAGAACATTTTTATGGAAACCCTGCGAAATATTATTTTTAACTTCCTCTCTTACAGGGATCTTGTAAACGGTTACAATATTCGTTGTAACAATCACTCCGAGCTACTCGCCTGTCTCAAGATTGTCAATCAGGTTAAAGCAGCATTTTAAATTATTCTTTTTGAAGATATACCCTAAAAATTAGACGTATCCATGCCACTATCCATTCTTCGGAATCCGGCTTATTTTTCTTTAAGAAAAATTGGAGAGCACTTTAACAGTTCGATACTTTAAATTAATATTATACAATATAAATTTATAAAGTTTTATTTATTTCCCAGGGTATTCAGAAAGCAGGACGTCTGAGGGTAGGAAAACCTAAAACTCAAGTTGTAACAGCCTGCCGAAGTGCTATCAAACAGGGTGACGTTGAAAAACTCTTCAAAATCATCGAATGTGGTGGTGTTTGAAGCCCGCTTCTTATCATGTATTTTTTGTACATTTTATTTTCAGTCCACATTACTTATTTAGTAAATAAGTTATTTACTTGATGTAATTTTAATTCAGAGAGCACTTTATCTTGGTTGTTTTTTATAATGTACATATTCATACGCGTACAGATTATGTATTATAATATTATAATGTCCATAGCATTACATTTAAGATTTGTGAGGGCCTGGAGCCTTTGTTCGTGTGGTGTATAATGTAAAGAATGGACAGAATTAGAACCAAATATTTACGATTTCTTCCATAGTTTATGATAAAACATACAGAGTTTTCAGATTGGTTATAACTTGTATAAATTATATAATGCAACAAACGTTTATATTATTTAATTCAAAAGTTGAATACGATCTCTAGTCTTTTGTTTTTTCACTAATATGATCATAAGATTAAGGTTGATTTATAAAAGAAAATTGAAAGTATAATATACAGATAGCTCTATCAAAATAAGTTGTCAGATTTTTTTGACTCGTGATACTGCAAATTGAATGGTTAATCGTAATCACGTGTTAAAACAAACTTGTACCCATCATTACCAATATCAATGAGAACATCTGATTATTTATTACATTAATTATTTAGATAATTGAAACTGCATTTCATTTGTTATAACGTAGGTCCCGGTTCATATCAATGCTGAACTCCTCTCTGATAGCTTTCACAAAGCATCGAAAATAACACCGTCAAATTGACTTACATTCACGTTCCCCCTTATTACGAACAAGCTGTTCCATAGCTTTTGGGGGCGACACATTCTAGCAGATCTATTTGTCATCCGAAATCCTGTCATTTGTAGAATATCTACTGTCACATCCAGGAAGGCTCATCAAACATTACCCAGCTGATAAGATTGATCCTTAAGCAAACGTAAGATATCATTTGTAGGACAGAAACAACTCTTAATTGAACTTTCTAAACATTTAGAACAAGAAGCCATCTAAATGATAAATCTTATTTTTATCTCAAAATGTTCTGAATTATTGGACGACGGTTACAAAGAGGTTTGTTTTGGTTACTTATGTACTTTGCGGAACGCGCGAGACCTAATTTAAGCTAAAACATCACGACTCTTGCTGATTTCTACATAATGCGCGTATTATAGTCCTATCAGCTAGCTAACATGAGACTTAGCTAGCAGAGGACTACAGCCAGTTGTACCATATTTGTTTTCGTTTTCTCTTAAATAGCTCTTAATAGTCTATGTAATAAGCGCCATGAGTTGGTACAGAATTTTTTGTCTCTGATTTTGATAAATTTGGTACCAAAAGTTGCCTTTGACTGTGAATAATGAAAATTCACCGTGTAGCACGATAACGTCGAGATGTATGTGGGCCTCCTTACCTCCTTACATCCTTACCTGTGCATTGCAAAAAGTGAACAAAGGACAAAAAATTGGTAGGTTTACAACCTACCAGGACGCGCGCCGAGTTGGACTCGTCGGTCCAATATATGGAATAGATATTTTACGAGTATCACCCGTTATATAACGAAAAATGGTTAATTTATCGCCTTAAATGCCTATAACTCCTAGAATTTTGAATAGTTTGAAATAATTCTTACAGGATCGTAATGCAATGAACTTGTAGCGCGATGCACTACTGGGTCGCGCCGCGCATCAAATAATTCTTCTCGCAACCACGTATGCAGATCGGCGAAATGCGGAGGATTGATGCATCGTGAATCAAGTAATGAACTTAATCAGACGCAACTTTTGGTACCAAGATTATATAATATTTAAAGCACCTAAGTTAAAATATTAGTATTAAAAGTTTTGTCTCGATGAGCCATGATTACAATACCATAATAACTATGTGATAATAATTGAAAAAGTGAAGTTAGGCCGAAGACTAAAAATTTGCGCACAAAAAGCACGCGCGGCAAACAAGCGCCGTGACGCATTTTTAGCGAAAATTGTTACACTGTGGATTTATTTAATTCACATTTTTAAACAACTTTTGGTACCAAATTTATCGAAATCGGAGAAAACGTTCTGTGCTCGCGCTTGGCGCTTATTACACTGACTATAAATAAAAAGTTTTCAGTACCAAGTACAGTTAACGGGTGATACTCGTAAAATATCTGTTCCATATATACATGACCGTCGACGAGTCCACAGTCCAATTCGGTGCGCGTCCTGGTAGGTTGTAATCCTACAACGAGTACAGTGGTGAAACATATTTGTGCCACAAATCGTTTTACTGCCTACATCTCTAAATTTTCTAGCACTTATGACAACCCGGCGCGCACAGACGGGACCTCCCCTGGACGGTTTTATTACTTGTTCTGATAGGAAACGTTTTGTAGCCGAATGATCATAACAACTTTTTATTTGAGTTATCAATAATAATACAATTTGATTGCAAATTATTTGGCAAACATTAATGTAAAATATTCATAAAAATTTGTAAAAGTTTATAGTTAATACATAATATAATATGAATAAGGGACTCCGCACATAACAAACTTTTTAAACAAATACGCGTCAAAGATTTGTAGTTCAATTACGAATGTAATATTTTGTTAAAAGTTATGTTTGCTTTTTGACCATATAATCCGATAGCTGAATATTTTATCTACAATACATACAGTATAATTTTTATGTACACATTAACCTAATTTAAAAAATGAGTGAAGCTAAAACGAAAAGAGATGTTGCTCAACTTTGAGGTGTAAAATATCCACAACTCGCTAGGCTATTGTGATATTCCTATCACGGGATCTCCTTACTCCACCCTGCTGAGCTGGTTCAAGCTGATTTTAATGGTCAGATCACAACGTTTATAACTTTCTTCTACTACTTTATACTTATAGTAGTTATTACTACTTTACTGGGGAAAAGTTGCAAGGACTATAATTATAAATGAACTTTAAGATTTACGATTCAGATCATCTAAATAATCGATTACTGCAAACAAATTATTGGTCACATCAGAATTAACGACCTATACCGACCCAACTGAAAACAGATCCACTGAAGGTACCTAACACCGCGATTTGATAAACATTAGTGTCATTGCAACTATGTCTATATGACCAAAAAACTGGTCAAGAGTACAGAAGACCTCTATACAAATAAAACTCAAGGACTAATGAACTGTAGGTTTCCCGTTTCATGACTAATGCACCGACAAATGATTAATTTCTCTATGGACCTCTATAACCCGACCCATCTGAAAACAGATGCGTTAGGGTTTTGTAACGTTAGGGTTTTATGACCTGGCAATAAATCTCATATTTAAACATTATCGTTGCTTGTGGTAAAGACCACAACTTATCACAAAACGCCCTCGGCGCGCTTTTTATTTATACATATTTAGCTGAAACCTGAAGTGTGTTTTTGTATTTATAGATGCAGCTAAAGTCTAAAGCGTGTTTTTGTATTTATAGATGCAGCTAAAGTCTAAAGCATGTTTTTGTATTTATAGATACAGAGATAGAGAGGGTGTCTCCGCCCTCTGGGGTCGTTAGCGGCTCATGTGCTGACCAAGATACACGTTACAATCTCAACAATATCATGACTTCATAACATATTATTGAGTTATATGACAATTAACTCTGACCGACTAGAGACCACATTGATAACCATTTCCCGTTTAGGATTCTAATGAGCTAACGTCTAGTCTGTTTATATAATATATCGTTAAAACATTTGTAAATCACAAGTTATATCATGGTCTAAAACTCCAACAGTAATATCTTATATCACACGCTCACTTTCATTTTTGTTAAATAGTGTGTGCAGTTTCACTTTCAGGGAGAAAGTAGGTAATTTGATTTAGATATTTTTAGAGATTGTAATTAATTTGGGCGTAAATCATTTTAAATTGGACAGAAATTTCGTGAGCGGACATAATTGTAGTCGTTTGAATCAGATTTGGACTGACGATGAACTTTCTTTTGGGTCTAAATACTTGTTTTTCTTCTTTTAAAACCCCCGGAGGCGTTTGCCAGCATGGCGATGTGGCCCGTATCTTACCGTTGAATATCGAGGTCTAGGTGTGCCTAAAACGTACTTTCTTGGAGTCAGCTGGTGTTGCCAGAACAGTTAAAGTCGCTCATGCTCGGTCAAGATGCGCAATGGTAATATGATCTCGCTAATACCAACACAAATTATCAGCCATAACAATTACATCCCAACTATTATATCGACCACTATTTAGCAACCACTTCCCGCACAGGATTATAATGAGCTAAAATATGTTTACAGTGTTCACTATTTAGCAGAGCGTTCTAGTTGTGATATCACGTCCTAAAGCTTTAAAAGGAGTAACGCACCTGCTTTGTAGTTTATACTACTTACTTTATTTTTGTTTATATATTTAATTGTGCACATTCACAGAGTAAGTTCTTTGTTTATATTTTACATACTATTACTATATTCCTATTGCTGCCTGGAAAGATGACTTAAGTTGACAATTTTGCACTCTACCATTAATAATAAAAATCGATCTTACGTATGTAACTAATCTCAGATTCATTCAGTTTCACCGAATGAATCAACATTTTGTTCGCTTCGCCAATTGTCATCTTTTCATGAGGTTAATGTTCGCAAGGTCCAGGTAAAGTATGTTTAGTCGGCGACGGCCCCTCCCAGCTACCAAACTCCTCATTAGTCTCTTACAGAGTTACAGTGGTGTAGTGTGTACATTTTAAGATAAAATATTTTAATTTGATGTTTTCATGGTTTTTGACTAGGTTTATAAAAATTTTGTGCGTTAGTCTCTTAAAGTTAAAATAGAACAATTAAAAGGTCTTCAGGTTGTGCGATCTTGAACTTCCATAAACTATTAGCACAATGAAGCAAATTTGTTGTGAGTTGTGACTAATCTCAGCCTCAAATGAGACAGAATTTAAATTTATGGTTTTTGTATTCGATGAATAATGAATATCAAACTAGCTTTATTTTGAATAGATGAATGTAAACTTCAATCTATTTTTTGGTTTGATTTATAGCAGAAACTATTACGAATCGTGGCAGTCAGGTTAAGTTACAAGAACAATATTTTGACGATGCTATAATTTGACAGGAACAGGTTTCATAATGGATGACGCAGAAATATTGGAGAAACTCCACTACAGAATCTGCGATGTCTTACTGGCGACAGTATTGAGTGTTTGCTTCTTGGTGGGATTTCCAGGCAACATTTTTTCTCTGAGATACTTTCTTTCTAAACCAGGACGAAGCTTATCAAATAACCTGTACATAGCATCATGCTGTATCGACAGTGTTACCAGCATCTTCCACCTACCTGTAGCTGCAGTTCTGTTTAACCAACGGAACCCTGGGATAATGGACAATCCTACCTTTTGTTCATTTTGGTACATGATGTTTTTATTTCTACAAAAGATGTCAATGTTCTTGGTCTTGTTAATGTCGGTGTCAAGAACTTTAGTCATCATGTTTCCTTTCTTTAGAATTAATAAAAGAGCTGTTATTCTATCGATACCTGTCTACGCGGCGTATTTGATTTTGCGGTTCACAGTAAACTATTACAATGCCAAGTCGGTCTTCACAAAGAACGATCCATTCTGTTATCTGGCATCACAAAATCACCTCTTGGGTATTGCATACAACATCCACTACAATATCTG